CCACATTAATTAAAAGCAGCGTTTTCTGTTGGTTGTAAAAAAACTGGCCACTGTGCTGATGTCATACGATGAAGCCGTTGATTGGTTAGAGAAGTGATACGCGAGCCCCACTCTTGTTGACCCGCGGCAAAATCAGGAAGTCCATCGGTGGAGAATCGGGGAGGAAGGGAAGGGCTGAGGTGGAATACACCGGAAGCAGGGAAATCAGAGCGGAAGAACAGGGAATGACGAAAAGTGCTGGATAGGGGAAGTGACTGAAAGTTTGACTAGCAATGTACATTACCAGTCGAAAGTTTTTCCACACTACAGGTTTTTATCACTTTTCCATTTAATTCATAAACAGCAGGTTTTTTATTCTTGTTAAGCATTGGAAAGTTGAGTGAACAACTATAAATATAAGTCAAATAAAGCAAGTCTCCTTTATAACACGGGAGGGGCATGTCTGACATCCTATTAACTGGTTGTGTGGTGATGGCATAGACAAATTCTAGGCTGTCCTTTAACTTTAAATATACTAGTTAACAGTTTCCTCCCATGAAACAGTGCAGTATTTAATGTCCCTTGCTGCTAGAGCAGGTTAGTTTGATGAATCAAATGTATGACCTTTTTCTTGTCAATAAAGGTACTCAAATAGTGAACACATTGTAAATGTAAGAATTGTTAGAAAAGATTATTGAGAGTCAAGGCTTACTGTAAGTGAGTAAGATGCAAATGTAGAAAATCTTGACTGGTAGTGTACATGTAATGGGCTGTAGATGTATTACCATAAGAGGCTGTAGACTTTACTCAGAATGTGCATTAATCTGAGAGTCAAGGCTGCTTGCTCATTAAAGGGGAATTACAACTAAAGTCCCCTTAAACATTATGGGGGTGGCAAATGGTATCACTGGGAAAGTCTGAAGCTTCTGACCTACCAGTGTTTCTACAGGTCTTTGTCAATCATAGTAGCATAATTTGTAATAGCTACAAGCAAGACATGATAATGTTTCTTTTTCTAAAAGCTCCAACAAGAGGAAATTATTCAAAGAAATTATGTTTCATTCTTGTCTACATAATGACACTTCAGAATCATCATAAAATGCATTTTTTCTTTGATGCTGTAATTATTAGATGAGAAAGGATCCAGATATGGAGATTCCACATTTATTTCCAAACTTCTTTTCCAAGAGCAGGTGATAGGTTAAAGAGTGAGTAAGAACATACAAATGATGCCAAGCAGTGTTCCAAACACATCATCCAAACACATCCTCCGAACACATTCTCCGAACACATCATCCGAACACATCCTCCGAACACATCATCCGAACACATCCTCCAAACACATCCTCCAAACACATCCTCTGAACATATCATCCGAACACATCCGCCGAACACATCATCTGAACACATCCTCCGAACACATCCTCCGAACACATCATCCGAACACATCCTCCGAACACATCATCCGAACACATCCTCCGAACACATCATCCGAACACATCCTCCGAACACATCATCCAAACACATCCTTCGAACACATCATCCGAACACATCCTCCAAACACATCCTCCGAACACATCATCCAAACACATCCTTCGAACACATCCTTCGAAAACATCATCCGAACACATCCTCCAAACACATCCTCCGAACACAGTCCACGGGGGACACCTACCAAAACAAAACACCAAGACGAAGAGCTACAGTAGGTAGCTGTGAGATCAGGCAGGGGTCACACAGAGAAACAGTGCAGCCTGGGCCTTTTAAGCTGGGCCATTAAACACTGGATGGTCTGTCAGTGTGGCCACTTTTCAGGTGCAGTGGAGGGGGAGATGAATGGAGGCGTGACTGTTTATCTCTTGAATGACATGTGTGTGTTCTTCACCAAAAAAACACATTTAATTTATGCCTGCCATTATTAATTAGTAGCTAATAAATGTATGGGTGTTTTTTCTTCATGGATAGAGACCATGTGGAGCTTTCATTGTAAAACGTTAATTGTAAATCGTTGCTAATTTCGGATGTGACAATAAACCAGTCATGGAGATCTGAACGATCTTGGTCAAAAATGTAATAAAGTTTGCAAATATTTCTAAATAATATAATGAGGGCACAGTAACTGAAACCTTGTAATATGTTGTGCAAAGAACAGCTTTTTCCCAAAACAATATTTACATATTAACAAATTTGATTAAAGTACAGACTAGGGCAGGGACACGTTTTGCTTATTTGAGAAACAAACAAGTTAAAGCGATTTTTCTATCAGGACCATTGAAGGTTTTGGTAAGAAAAGAGCACTGACATCACAGTAAACAGTTCATTGGAAGTGTGTAGATTTTTCCAGGAAGATTATCTTTAATATTTTGCATTTGTCTCTCCTTATTGAGTAGGGTTGTGGTGAGAAAGGTCTCATTAATTACCATGATTTAAAAGTAACCTGAGAAGTGTTTGTAATGTAATTATATAGGAGGAGGTGCAACTTGACGCAAAGTGTTACCTAGTATTCAGTTCAGTTTAATTCACATTATGTTTTTATAGCGCCCTTCCACACATTTCTACAGATAGCAAAAGCTATGTGCATTATATTGGGTGATTGGAACTAGGCATTATTTCAATAATTTGATTAGTATTGATTAGCCAAACATAATATGCTAGTTCACGAATACATGGGTATATTGGATGGTTTTGGATGATGACTGGATGATGCAAATACTGGGGTGACTTTGGGAATGGTTTTTAAAAGTGTGTGCTGACACATTTTGACGAACAGAATGTTATAGTGTAACGACTGCATTATATATAAAGAGCAAATCTGTTCAGATTACAGCATCCAATAAAAACGAAAGGTAAATTAAATGGAGGATACTGGTTTTATCCACCTTACTGCTAGACAGAGGGCAGGGCAGTAAAAACTAATATGTTGCCTTGCTTTATTACTTTCACATATGCATCACCGAAAAAACAAGCGTCCTACAATGTATGCTTGCACCCGTCAAGGAGGCTCTTCTCAATCCCAAGATCAAAGACCTTTCGTTGTGAAATACTTTCTACTGAATCAGGGGCTCAGAATCTGCCCAACAGCGTGTGTGTGGAATTTGCATGTCTTGTTGTCCTAAAATAACAGAAAGAAAAAGACAAACATGGTTGACAAAACGCAGTTCGAACTAGAGGAGGAATACTTGTATCTTCCAGGTAACAAAACACAACGACTGCTAAACACATAGATTTTGAACTTATGAACTTCCAATATGAATCAAGCACAACTGTCTTTTCATGTCACAAGAGGGTTATCAACTTGCAGTGAAATAAATTCTTCTGGATATGTAGGAAGTTGTCTTGAGGTATTATTTTTGGTTGCAGTGCTTCAGTCCATAGTTAGAACATAACATGCTCACTAGATGGGCACAGGGACAGCATGGTGGTGCAGTCATTAGCATTGTTGCCTCACATCTTTGGGTTTGCATGTTCATAGTTGTATTAAGATTAGGACATGCTTTGATCACATCATACAGTCTGATAGCTGATCAAACCAATGACTGCACTTGTACTTCTCCATCTGTATATGCTGGTTTTGTGTCGTACTTCTCAGGTCTTTGCTGACTTGGTGGAAATTTGCTTTTTTCTAACTTGAGATTTTTTTTTTCTTTCATTTTTTTTTCTTTAGCAATACATCACTTTTTCCACAAAGTGAAGTCAAGCTAATGTTGCAGTGTTCACTTTACTTCCTTGCAGTCTTCAGGACTCTTGAAGTTTATGGCCAGCCGTAGTTATGGGCAGTATTATGTATCAGTTATTTACTGTCTATATGAATCTGCATGTTTATTCAGATTTGCACGTACATGCAATAATGTATATAGTTGTAATGTATATAGTTGTTCCGTTTGTATGTGTAGTACATATTTCCTGTGTTACCACAGGAAGTGGAGACAGTCTCTCTGTATGAGAACCCCATGCAAGTTTGACATCCTTTGACAACCTAGCGCACACACACTAGTATAATCACAAGAATCCCTTTAATAGGGACACTGTCTTTGAGAACAGGTGAGATTCTCTGACTGTCCAGTGACACATTCTCTCTCCTCTCTCTCCCATTTATACACCTGTCCTTGAGGTTCTATGTCACTGCAGTTAACTATGTCCACTCTAGATAACCACAGATAAGTGACCACTTATTTTACTCCATCGCGTCTCTTGTGTCTCCATTCTGTCGTATTTTCAGTAAAGAGATCATGGTTAAACTCAACTAGAAAACAGTTATAGTATTATGCTAACAACAGCTATATTATTATACATCTGGATAAGCAGGATTTGATAAGTTAACCCAGATGAGAGGTGGATGAAATATTATGATAATTCAATGATAGACTTAATAAACTGTGTAAGTACTCATTGAGTTAATAGATTTCACCCAGGATTGGCACTGCAACCGACGTAAAAAAAAATTCACACTGTTCCGCGGCTTTCAGACTAGTATGGTGTTGAGGTTTCACCTGCCACACGCCTGCTCTCAGGTTCTCATCCCTGAGGGGGCTTGTCGTGGTGGGTGCGCAACGCGCTGTATCAGCAAAGACCCCTTACTCATGTGCAGGGATTTGCTCTCTGGTCTTGAATCATTTTTGATGATTATCCATTTAGATTTTAGGAATAGCATGCTGTCGGTCTCGCTAGTTACCTGAGACTTCACATTAACTCGCTAAGCTAACCTACAGGCCTCAGCTATTAATCTTTCCTATTCTCAATCTAGCTTTGAATCCTTGGAATAAAGTAGAATTTTGGGTAAAATTAATTAACATGTTGAAGTATGAATTCTTTTCTATGAAGTGCTTTCTCTGTTCCCATGCTAATATGACAAGGACACAAACATCCACGCGCAAAGCCTTCCTCCGTGAAATTTAACGTTGCTTTTAGCATGATCATTCAAATGCCCTGTGGACTTTGTGGAACATGGTCTGTGCTGTGTTACCTGTACGTGGTTGACTTCTGTGTGCTGAAGTGGTGCCCATCCTTGTTCGTTCTGGCAGGTGGTTCCACCCCAACATCACAGGAATTGAGGCTGAGCAGCTGCTCCTGTCACGAGGGGTGCACGGGAGTTTTCTGGCCCGACCCAGCAAGAGCAACCCTGGGGACTTCACGCTGTCCGTCAGGTACCCTTCTCTTCCTTGGGGCGGAAAAATAAGTCACAGTTGCACTGATTGTCATAATGGAATCGAACATAATAAATGCTCACTAGATGGGCACAGGGGCAGCATGGTGGCGCCGTCGTTAGCATTGTTGCCTCACATCTTTGGGTTTGAGTCTCTGCCAGGGCTCCATGTGTGTGGAGTTTGCATGTTCATCCCGTGTCGTCGTGGGGTAATCCCCGGGTACTCCGGTTTCCCCCCACAGTCCAAAAACATGGGTTGGCGCCCCATCCTGGGTTGTTCCCTGCCTTGTGCCCTGCCATGGGTTGGCGCCCCATCCTGGGTTGTTCCCTGCCTTGTGCCCTGTGATGGGTTGGCGCCCCATCCTGGGCTGTTCCCTGCCTTGTGCCCTGTGATGGGTTGGTGCCCCATCCTGGGTTGTTCCCTGCCTTGTGCCCTGTGATGGGTTGGCGCCCCATCCTGGGTTGTTCCCTGCCTTGTGCCCTGTGATGGGTTGGCGCCCCATCCTGGGTTGTTCCCTGCCTTGTGCCCATAGCTTCTGGGATAGGCTCCAGACCCCCCCAGATCCTGAAAAGGACAAGAGGTTACAGAAAATGGATGGATAGGTAGGGACAAGCCATACAGGCTACCCTGATATATTGTGAATATTCATAATGCAAGAATTGTGATTCTTTCAGTTAATGTTGTGGAAATGCATTTTTTTCTTTGTTTGACCCCCTTATTCTGCAGAGTATGTGGGCGTCCGTTGGTTTCTGCTCAACAGTTTCCATTCTTTGAGGCTTTGTTGAAGTCTCCATGAACTTCTTCAAGTGTGTTGTAGACGTGAAAGGCGTCAACTATGTACAGTACTGTTTAACTTCTCAGATTCCCTAGAAATAATGCATCTAAAATTGCAGCCTTGCCCACAGATTAATTGCAAGCATTGCAAGCCTCTATTCATTTATTCGGTAAAACTTTAAAAAATTAAGATTTTTTTTTCACAGCATTGTAGGTTTGTGAGGAATATTACTTACTAGTTACCAATATCTATTTAAATTAAATCAAAATTTACTTTGTATGTCTACAGCTGTTTATTTTAATGGGGCAGTTACACGTGTGAATGCAAAATGATACATGATACTTATTTAGAATTTGCCCTGAAAATTATCAGTTGCTTGAAACCATGTGAGGAATTTGGTAAATGGTAAACAGCGACAGAAACTGCATAATTAAAAAGGGAAAGTCATTAAATTGAGTATTTCTTGCAGTTGTGCTGTAACCGTGTATAAATTCTGTTTCTGTACATACTGATAATATATGGAATTATGCTTATTTGTGTGAGTGTACTAAGAAGCAAGTCTTCAAGGTCCTTGTTTGACTAATTGATTTCAAGTTTTAAAAAAGTGCATTCTCAGCTTAAATACTACTGCATTCAGTCCTTGATGAACCAACCCCAACAAGATAGAAGCTCCTGCACTTACGTGGGATTTAGGGAATTGTAATGAAAGTGATTTTCAGTTCCATTATATGATGCTACATGGATGCACTAATTTGCACAACATCTAAAGAAACGCACAGGAGGAGCTGAAAAGGAGTGCCAGAAATAACCAGCTGAGCCGTGACGGAAAAAGTGCACAGGCTGGTTCTGTGCCGAGGCCCAAAGGCTCTGGACCTAAAAAAGGAAGTTATACTGACCTGTGAGCCAAGTTTCCACATGCTTGAATTTTGCACACATGTGACTGTGTGGTGTCTTTGTTTTACGTTGCGTAATCTCCTCTCTGACGGCAAAGATATTTGTATACGTTGCGTGTGACACTCGTAAAGCTCCTTTTTGTCTACGGATAACGGATACATCAGTAGCATTAATTCATACAAAACACTGTCTGAATCTTTGATCACCCTTAACTGAGGTGATCGATGGACCCTTCAAGATGTAACAAGTGGTTCGTACCGGCTGATTGGAAAGGTCAGCTTTTGTGCTGATTGGAACCAACAGATTGGTTCATTCACTGCAGGTTTATTTCCAGTTGAAAACTGAGATTATGATGAGCGTTTCTCACTCACCTCATTGACTGGCTATGCGGTAAGATCATTGCAGGGCACATTTGTGCTCTTCAGGTCTGTCAGTTACTGGAGGGAACTTATCAGTCATCAGCTATTTAACATTTAATATTGCATCCTAATCACTCCATGTAAAATTTATCACAGTGTGACAAAGAGCGGGCTAAAATGGCAAATTGCCCCTAGCCACAAACATGATAAAGACATTTATCATGACCTTTAATCCTTAAATATTGGGTAGTTTGAAATTTTGAAGTATTCCTAATTTCACCAAACGATGAATGCACATCAACCTATTTAGCATGTTTAAATGACATTGCAGTGACCTACTCGGAGAATGACCTCCCCTGACCTCCCCAAGTTTTTTTAAGGAAGTTAAAATTGACCACAATTAATTATTTGATGAGGAAACACTGTGTAGGAAGCGATTTCAGTTTGTGATTGCATTTTCTCAGAATGCTCTGTCTGTTCCAAGTATGTTGTGGTTGAGTTGATGTGTGAAGGGAGTGCGCTGTCTGAGAATGACAAGAATGGCAGAGAGGTTTTTTAGCTTATCCTACTCTGCCTTCCGCAGCAGAAAAGCTGGAGCAGACATCAGTGAAACTCCACACCCAGACATTTGCCCAGAGCTGGCCATGCTTGTTATGGCTGACACAGCAAAGCCTTGCTGGTCGCTAGGCCATCTTGTAGCGTTACCTTTAAAATGACTTGGAGGTAGGTTGACTAGACCAGTGTTTCCCGATCCGATCCTTGGGGATCCCCAGACAGTCCATGTTTTTGCTCCCTCCCAGCTCCCTGCCAGACAGTCCATGTTTTTGCTCCCTCCCAGCTCCCTGCCAGACAGTCCATGTTTTTGCTCCCTCCCAGCTCCCTGCCACGCTGTCCATAGTCCATGTGGACTGTCTGGTGGTCCCCAGGGACTGGTTTGAGAAACACCGAATTAAGCTACCAGCTGTTCCATGGGTGCTTAGATGTTCAACCAGTTGATCGGAAATTTGCTGGGATTGGAAACTGCCCCTTCTTCAGGCTTAATTGATATGTCAGATATGTAACCGAAAATAGGAACTCTCCAGCAAAGAGATCTATAAATGAAATGTTGAGGCAACTTGTTTCACATTATCAGTAGCAGCTGAAAGTGGGTCAGGCTCTGTCTGGATATTTGTGTTGCGATGTCCTAATTTAGCCAGCGCAGGTATGTCACGCTACAGCTGAGGTTTAATATCCCTGATAGGCCAAAGGAGGCACCACGAGGCAGGAAGTGTGGGTGCTTTTCATTTCTGAGAAGAGGTTGCATGCCTGCAGAAGGCACCATCCAGACGCTGGCGTTGACGATGACAGGGCCATCTCTATCTTTAAAAAGTGATGTAGCTTTTCTGACAGGCTATTTCTTCCCAGAAGTCTGCAGTCATGGTCCCCACTAACCCCTAAATGATGGTGACACACTAAATCACACTGACGGCCCAGTACGCGCTTTATGCATTTCTTCTCATAGTCTATATTCCCTTTCATGGTCACCATTACGGATGCCCTGGCCTTCGACCATTGTTCACACAAGACCTATTATTTATGCATACAGTTCTCATCTTATAGCCTAGATTGTGTCAGTCTTCAAGCTGAAATTGATAGGGTAAAAAACAGATGGAAATGAATGTAAGCTTATGATTAAACATTGTAATGAAGCTAATATATTATGCATGACATCAAAACTTTGAACCTCTTTGCAATCGCTGCAATAATTAATCAGACCTGCCTGCTCTCATGCATTTTGCAAGAGTCTCACGCATGTGGAATGATTCTCCTGCTCTCCTACAAGCCCTTCGTTTTCTCACGCAGTCGTGTTTAAGTTTCCCCCTGAAAAATGTTTTAGCGCATTTCTCCGTCACAGCTACAAGGCGCAGATAGAGTCACCTACTGGGGAAAGTTTTTAAAAATTGGCCAAAAAATGGCTTGAAATTAGCCAGTTTGAAAGAAAGATTTTTAGAAATATTTGGAAATTTTGGAAGCCCCAGCATGGCAGCCCCCCCCAAAAAATCCAATTCTTCTACAAAATGTAGTCAGTCCCTCCATAAACTGGCACAGCGCCCTGGGCTTAATGATTAATTGTCCTTCCAGGCTGGATGGATGGGTATTGAAAGTGGGCCTCGGTTTGGCTGATCAGGGCAGCCATTGGCCAGTGTCCCATGCTGCAATAGGCTGATGAGGCTGCACCATGCTTCTCCAGAACATGAGGATTTGTTTACCAGTCCAGCAGCCACACATGACCTGGAAATTACCCATATTGACCTTATAAACTATTCCGCCTTGTCTGCACATGCTGAACGTACGCAGCCTTTGGCAGAAAAGATCCGGGCTCCTGCAGCGTGGTACTTTAATGTTGGAACTTGGTGGATTTGGAGAACTTGTTGCTATATCCCTTGTAATGGATGTTTTTTCCTGCTGGTTAAAATGGACACATACAATAGGGATAGCATGCTATGTGAGTTAGGGCTCCTATTTTTGTGTTGGAACGCCCATCATCAGACAAATTCCCTGCCCTATTTATGAGTCTTGCTGAATCATCCCATGCAGTGTGTTTTAAAATCCCTTATATCACATATTCTTGCTTTCTCAGATTATCACCGTAAACTATTGCTTTCAGTTGGATTGAATGGGGTTTTTGTGACTCTCATTATTCACCATCATGCTTTTATGCAAATACCAACGTGAGCATCGGCAACGCAGGAGAGATCATTGATGGAGTTTTGTTTGCTCATGTATCCTGATTTCCGCACCTTGTTGAATTTCATGAAATGTTAATGCAGAGAAAGGACACAGATCCATCTCCTGAACAAGGAATATTTTAATTTGCCTTCAGTTTTGTGAATCCGACAGAGTGATTTCTGCCTTTTCGGTGACCTTCAAATTCTCTTTAAGATACTTTTATGGACACATAAACATAATGGCCAGAAATTTGCCAAGAATGGCGAGAATATTTCTTTCTTAAGAGCACAGATGAAGCCAGAGGACATTAAACATCCCTGGAATCAGGCAAGTCTCCTCTGTGCTGTTCTGTGGAAGCACTGGCCATCCATCTGGCAGAGCCTCACAGCCCAGGCAGCAGCCAGGCTTAGCCGTGCCGGGGGGGGGGGGGGGGGTCGCGAGACTGGCCACATGACTGTCAGTGGAGGACCACCCAGAGACCAGGCCTGCTGCCTCTGGCTTTGTGGTGAGTAGCTCAGTTTGCTGACAGCCATTCAGCTGGACTGCATGTTCGCAAGGCGGTCATGTAATTTCTGCTGGCTGCTGCCATGAATGCTGGCCAGGGAGTCCTTGGGGAATCGTGTGCGTGTGGGGGGGTTATCTCATTCTAAAACAAAGCCCTAATTGTTCAGCCATCAGCTTTTGACAGAAAAAACGCTGTCCAGTGGAGAGCCAGAGCGCGAGGATAGTGCTGGTCAGGCACTGTAAGTGCCGTCTGTCTGGGGCCCATTGCCCAGAGCTGCCCCCGTAACGTTCACTCTCAGGGATGTGCGTCTAGCTCCTCCTTGAAGGACAGTCTCCTAGACATGTGTGTCCAAAGCAGGAAGCTGTTTTTTATTGCTTTTGATTGGAAAAGGCAGTTCAGTGGCCTCCACCTGAATTTAAAATGTCCATTATTTGTGTATTATTGGCACGTGGAGCTACTTAATTGTTAATAGTGTTTTGCCTTGACAGGGCATGAATAGCACTGAAATGTACACATGACGCATAAGAAATTCAACTGTTCAATTATTCATTTTAAAATGAAGTTTCACATTATGTGAGTTACGTCTAGCATGACCGTTGGATGATCATAACAAAATATGATACTGTTAGTCTAATATTAATTAGTTCTTGTTTGTTTGAATTGTTTTTAGTTAAAGTAAAAGATTATGGATGAAGTAAATGTACGAAGCACCACATTCAGTTCAATTCAGTTTATTTTTATATATCACCTTTCACAAAGGGCGCTACATGGGTGTGATGTTAAACATTGTATATAACAGTAATACCTATTTTCTAAATAATTTTTCTAAGAACACAGGGTCTTTTGGAACGTATCACTGAATATGTATTTTTTTACAGTGTTGTGATACTCTAAGATGTTTATTTCAGCTTCTACTGTGTAATAGAAGGTACTCTAAGTGCATTATATTGTGTCTATCAGCTTCTATTGTGCAACTATAAAGCAGCACTAATGTAAGCCCTGCATCTGTAGGCATTCAAACAGCTGAATATATTAAAACCAAAGTCATTAATTCGCCTATTTTAAAATGTTTATAGCTTGCAAGACCACCTATACACGGGAAACAAATACTGCATCACTCGGTGAGGGTCGTTATGTAATGAGGTGCAAAGTTTGCTCGTTAAAAGCCCGTGAAGGTTGTAAACATTGCTTAAAAACTTTTTTTTGCACAAAATATCAAGTGCTGAGGTCTGATTTTCAGTATCTCATTGCACATTTCGAGTCTGTGATGTCCCTCTAGTCGGAAAATGTGTGAATCTGTGGCCAGAATCGTCATTCTTTCTTTACCACAAGCAGCAGTGGTACATTCTTGGGCAAGAAGCTTGTAATCCTTTGTCATATGAATGTTTTTGAATGCTGGTATGAGGTTTGGGTGTTGCATGTGTCCGGTCCCGGCTTATGGCTTCGCACTGAAAAGAGGGCCGGCCGACTGAATGGACAATGGAAAGCCTCAATGCTGAGACTGTCTGTCCTCTTTTTTCGAGCGCATAAAGAACATTGCTGTGGCTGTGAGCTGAGTGATGAGCTCCTTTGGGTCTGAACATAGAATTATTGAGTCGGTTCCCTGACATGAAGCCATTAACCTCCCGCCGCCCCCCCATCTCTCCCATTCTCTCCACAGTGAGTGGGATGGGCACCATGACGAATCTGGACAAAAATGCAAGTAACAGGAAAGAGGCTCTTTATGCGTCCCTTATGGGCTGTGGAACAGACAGAGAAATAGGAGGCAGCCATAGAGAGGAGACCCCCCAGGCCTGAGACATGATCCGGATTTTGGCAGGCAGCTAAGATGCGTCTTGGGACGCAGGGGGCATAGGAGACCTTCTGTCAGTTGGCAAGAGCTTGATACTTCAGTTACACTGCTTATGGCTGTTTTTAGGCTGTGAAATTTATGTTATATGTGATTGAAGAGAAAATTTGTTAAACTCCATTTATTTTTCGTTGTTTCTGAGCCGAGACCGTTAATGACCAGTGTTACAGTAATGGGAACCAAATCTCACTCAGCTCTCATGGAATCCAAGTAAGAACTTTCCAGAACGCACTATGTCCACAGAAATTTTCTTGAGAATGAATCCCATGGACTGAGCGAGCTTTGGAAATTTGCTCTCCAGTCTATTAATGTAAGGCGCATCATGAGCTGACCTAAGCTGCGGACGTCTTCCGTTACCTTTCTGGTACTTATATCCTAGTAAAGAGGCTGGAGTAGTTTACTGTCTCGCTACCTGCAAGATGGCAAAAGTAGGGAACAGAAGCATTTTGCAGGTACAACGGACGCAAACAGTTTTTATTTTTCTTTCTAATACATTTTTTATCATATTGGGGCAGCATTTTACTGCATTGTGAAACAATGTATATGGATCTGTGTGGTAGGATTTGTATGTGTGGGTAATTTAACACACATCTGCCTTGTCAACAGATTTTAGCATGAAGCACCTCTCACACATGACAGTCAGCTTTTTATCTAAACGTACAGGTACCTGAGACCGATGCCGCAAAACAGTGGAAAATTTCAGCAAACCACTTCCTTTCTAGTCTTTGCACGGCTGCACATTCTTTTAAGGCATCAGTAACCAATATATAAACCCTAAAATGCATATAGGTTTACTCTTATGCAGTTTCTCAATAGTATACAAAATCATCCTTGTAGTTAACATACCTGTGGATGGCGTAGCATTAACAAGCAAAGCTGAACCGAATTGATATATCATATTTCAATCATTAATATAGTCATTAGGTAAAACTAAGTCACTGGCACTACAGTATGTTATGTTAGACTTGACTAGAGGCAAAGCTGTCAAACATTCCCACAAGTCACTCAGTATGTTTAAAATAGCATACAGCAGTGTTAATCAGCTTATTAAAAAAATCATTATTAAAAACCTATGGAATTACTGAACAGAAAGATTTATTACCTTGGTATAGGAAATCCCTGTTAATTATTTTATAACATTGTTCATGTTTTCTGAATAGCTATAAACCTTTTCCTTTCTTTAAATTGTACTCATCTCAGTACTATTAGGGCACTTTTGAATATCTTTGTCTAGCGTTTACAAATATGTTAAAAAGCAATTTTACAGCCATAGCTGACACAATAGCATTCAAAATATTTTAAAGCATTTTAATAAGTAATGAATAATATTTTTAACAATGAGTGACCATTTACATGTAGGTGAAGATATGTAAATAATAGTTTTGAGTTTCGAATGTCATAAATGAAGCATTTACACTGACTAAACTGACTACTCATCACTGAGAGACAAAATGTACTAATTAGGCCTTACTCTTATGAAATTGACAGCAGTTATTTTTTCTGTCGAACTGGCTCTTTGCTTTGTAATTGGAGCAGTCTACTCAACTAAGAGCAAGCACTATTGTAAAATTGCACTTTATTATGAAGTATGGTCAGTTTAATTGCTGCAATTTGTGGTTTTCAGGTTGTGTCAAAAACAAGGTCTGTTTGTTATTAAATTAATTAATTATCAGTGGACTAAAAGTTATTTATTTAAAATCTAACTTTGTATTTTTGGACATCCTTCCAGATCGCCCACTCACTCAGCACTTTGTGCTTCCCAGTCGTTAAATAAGGGTTGCATTTTGGTTTTTATCTGTCTTCCCCTGTGCTTCTGCCAAAACCTTCTTTGTATTCTGCATTCCTCTCTTGTGCTTTTGATGCACCCATCTCTCACTCCCAAATAAAATCTCTGCTTGTTCCTGCTGCCGCCATATAATGTGGCTCTATTCTCTGTCTTACAGAATTCATTTCACAAATACTGTTAATCTTTATTCATTGTGGTGTTTATTTACAATATTTTGATTCTTAAGGGACTAGACTTGTGCTATATATGTGGTGGCAGATGGAAGCAGTTGTCATATATTGTAATTATATAGTTTCTGGAAGCATTCTGCTGTATAACTGCTCAAAGAAGTGTTTATATGAGTAATTTGTTTGAATATAACCCCAATTAAGAGAATAAATAATTTGTTGCAATTTGATAGCAACAAAGAATCTCTTTCCCCTGGGGCAGGCGGAATAACGAGGTCACGCATATTAAGATCCAGAACACGGGAGACTACTATGACCTGTACGGCGGGGAGAAGTTTGCCACCCTGGCAGAGCTGGTACAGTACTACACCGAGCAGCAGGACCTGCTACGAGAGAGGAATGGTGACGTCATCGAGCTGAAGTACCCCCTGAACTGCAAGGACCCCACGTCCGAAAGGTAGTCTAACCGTCAGGCTCACATCCTTATTATCCGGGGAAACCAGTGCTCAACTTGCCATCTAGTGGTTAAGATGCTTAATGTCATCAGTACCAAATAGATGCTCCGCAGTTTCTGTTACACACCTCTGGGTCCAGGGTTCGAGTCTCCGCCATGCTGTCGTGGGGTTTCCTCCAGCTGCTCCAGTCTGGGTTGTTCCCTGCCTTGTGCCCTGTGATGGGTTGGTACCCCATTCTGGGTTGTTCCCTGCCTTGTGCCCTGTGATGGGTTGGTACCCCATTCTGGGTTTTTCCCTGCCTTGCACCTATAGCTTCCAGCATAGGCTCTGGACCCTCTGCAACCCTGAGTAGGACAAGCGGGTGCAGAAAAGGGATGGATGGAGAGATGGATGGGTAAAGTTACCTGTTTAATAACTTATATGTTGATTGGATGGCCTTTCGAAGCAGCTGCTCTCTTTATGCTGCATTTGTCTTTATCATTAAACAGTTCCTTGCCATCTGGCAGCACAGTGTCTCAGTGGGAAGCTCTTCTGTCTCAGTGGGTAGTGCTGTTGTGGTGGAATCCTGCCTCTGCGCTGGGTCTCCTCCTGGGGTTCCTCTTACAGTCGGAAGACGCTGTTAGGTTTCCTGGTGCCTCTGAATTGTCTGTAGTGTATGATTGTGTGTGCTGCCTCGGACAGGCGTCAGGACACCCCCACCCCCCTGGCCAGGAGGACATTCCACAAAGCAGAATTTCCGGGTTAGCTAGATAGATAACTTAAGCCAAATGCCTCCGATGGGAGGAGAGGTGAGTGTCGTCCCTGTTGGACAGTCTTTACATTTGGCTTAAGTTATCTGACTAATGAAAAAAAATCTTGCTTTGTGGAATACCCCCATTATGATAATAATAATAATAATAAGAAGAAGAAGAAGAAGAAGAAGAAGAAGAGGAAGAAGAACAACAGCAGCAACACACCTGTTGCTTTTGGAAACAATTTTACAAATCAATGCACAGCCAGCAATAAGAACATAAGAACATAAGAAATTTACAAACGAGAGGAGGCCATTCGGCCCATCAAGCTCGTATGGGGAGAACTTAACTAATAGCTCAGAGTTGTTAAAATCTTATCTAGCTCTGACTTAAAGGAACCCATGGTTTTAGCTTCCACTACACTAACAGGAAGACTATTCCATACTCTAACTACACGCTGTGTAAAGAAGTGCTTCCTCAAATTTGTTTTAAAATGTTCTCCCGCTAGTTTCCATCCAGTTAACAACAACAACAACAACAATAATAATAATAATTATTATTATTATTATTATACCTTTATTTGAATAGCACTTTTCAAGCCAAGTGGCACAAAGGGGCACATAAGTGATGTACAGATGGTTGGTTGGAGATCCTTGAAATCCCAAATGCCCTTTACTTAAAAATCTCATTCAGCCAGAAATCTGCATTATATAACAAATGCATAACGGGTGGCCCAGTGATCTGGTGGGTAATAAATTCCCCACATCTCCAGGATTGCGGGGGTTCAAATCCGTCCCCTGGCTCTGTCTAATTCTCTGTGTAACTGTGTGTAAATCTCTCTGTAACTGTGTGTAATTGTGTTTCCTCCAAGTGCTTTGATCTTCTGCTGCAGTCTAAAGGCAAGTAGTAAGACCAACTCGGCACAGGACCAGTTCTGCACTGGAAAAACAGTGTGAGAGAGCAGTTCTGCACTGGAAAAACAGTGTGAGAGATGAATGTGTAATTTGAGTGTTTCTTGAATGCTAAAGAAAAATCCCTAATCACATTAAATGGGACAAATGGATGTTTAGCATCTTGATCTGAAATCGTTGCAGTTATGGGATGTTATATTTGTTGCTCGCTCTGCATCGATAGCAAACTGATAATGATATTTTGTCAATTAAAGTGGATTTGAATTAAAGTGGTTTGGAACAGGTGTGTTTGAACTGAATTGAATCGCTCATTGATTGACACGAATATAGTAGCTATCTAAGAATCGGTGCCTTTTAAACGGTTGTGTAACTCCTGAAGTAAGTGCAGTTTAGCACTGAAATGATGTGATATTTAAGCTCTGCCTGTAAGGCTTTTCAGCACTGGCCGTTGTTCATATTGCCAGGTGGTTCCACGGGCATTTATCCGGGCGAGAAGCCGAGAAGCTGCTGACAGACAAGGGCAGGTCCGGCAGCTTCTTGGTGCGGGAGAGTCAGAGCAAACCGGGGGACTTCGTGCTGTCCGTCCTCACCCACGAGGAGAAGCACGAAAATTCAGAGCGCAGAACACGGGTCACGCACGTCATGATCCGCTATCAGGTGGGGGTGGGATGGGGGGGGGCGGCTGCACTGAGGGCACGCCTCTTTGGGGTACACATGGCAAGAAACACACACATAAAGCGGTAACACTTCCTATGAATGCCACGTCTACAATAATCTATTTAAGAATCTAACATTTATAACATGTTACAATGCATTCATAAAGAATTATAAACATGCCTATGAATATTGATAAAAAAGCATAATACATCATAGCCCTGTTTATTATGCATTATGAATGCTTTATGAAGCTCTTAACTATAATGGACTCTTGATACCTTCATAACGCAGTACAAAGCATCCTTAATTCTTATACTTATCATTATAATGCATTATGAAGGAATCTATAGTGCATTATACATGAGAGCTTCATTGGTGCTTATGATGTATTATAATCAACACTATAATGCCTTATGACTGTCAATAGAAGATGCTGTAACACCTTATTAATTAATAGAAGATACTATAATGCTGTATTGATTCTCATACTGACTATTATAATGCATTACGAAGGTATCTATAGCGCATTATAGATGATAGTGTTGCCCGCACAGCTTCTCCGGGTGAGAGAGGACTCTGCTTTGCTTCTTACTCTGTTTTGTAAAAACAGGACAGCAAGTATGATGTTGGTGGTGGCGAGAGGTTTGACACCCTGGCTGACCTTGTGGAGCACTATAAAAAAAACCCCATGGTGGAAAAGAGTGGGATTGTGGTGCACCTCAAACAGGTGAGTGGTGCCGTGTGCAAAAACACTGGCCAGCTAAAGACATACTATTAGGTACTGTGCTATTACGACTCACCGTGAGGCTCCAAAACCACTCATGTTCAAGACCCTTATATGAAAGTGCCTATTTACGTTGCATATGCACCTATTTCCAAGCTGTCTTATAGTTTAAATCATGCCTAGATTACAGAACTGTACCTATACAATGAAATTCTATGTAATAGATTTATAAAACAGTACAATAGTTACTATATTGTTTATCGAAAAATTGCAAAAAAACATTATGCACAGTACAGTACAATTTGAAATTCACATTTTGATTAGTTTTAAAGCTTTTCTTTTTCATACATATATATTTTCAACCCGTGTTCATTCAAAACGGCACATTAAAAACCACGTAAGATGTCTGCTGACTGTATATTACACATTATATCACTTGCGGCTTGATCACATGCTGTTTTGTACAGTACGTGGAGGCAGAGATGCTTCAGTCATTTGTTGGATCTTCTCACAGCCGGCAGAGCTTGTACATATCGGCATGTCTGTCTTTTGCCTTCCGTTCCCAAGCCTTTCAACGCCACCAGGATCAACGCAGCTAACATCGAGAACCGAGTCCGGGAGCTGAACAAAGTGACCGACAACTCAGAGAAGTCCAAGCAAGGTTTCTGGGAGGAGTTTGAGGTTTGTTTTCTAGTTAGAACATAAAAACAAAGATGGCGGTTCCAGTGCTAAATTATTTGATTCAAGAGACCCAGCAAGGGAGGACTAGCTGATGCAGATGTTAATGTACCAATACTACAGGCCCACTTTATAATTAAGTTCACAAAAACCACTATTACTGTGGCAGCTAGTGTTCTATGTACAGCTGCAGTATACTGTCTGATTAGCCTATCAGGACCTTCGGATTTAATCGCCCCACCTCGATGAGGTCACACTGTTCTGGGTTTGCCCACACGTTGGTAAATGGAGCACCGTGTTCTCCCCCCAGTGCCGCCGCGGCGTGTCTCGCTGTGTACACCCCTAACCATCTTCTCTCTCATTTATAGGTTCTGCAGCAACAAGAGTGCAAACTTCTCTATCCGAGGAAAGAGGGACAGCGCCTGGAAAACAAGATCAAGAACAGATACAAGAACATCCTCCCCTGTAAGCCTCAGGCTGCCCTTCTCAGTCTTTGGGAGCGGCACGTTTGTACTCACAGCGGCTGGCTCTGCTGCTCGGCCTTGTCCTAACTGTCTTTTTCTTCTGTGTCAGTTGACAACACACGTGTGGTTCTAAAGGAAGTCGACAGAGATGTCCCTGGCTCAGACTACATCAATGCCAACTACATCGAGGTCAGTGCTGCCATGCCACTGTTATAAACAGTCATGTCCGCAGCTGCGAGTATGTTTACATGCATATCTGGATGTTTGCATCCTCTTGGGTATGTTTGTTTGCCACATTCGAGAAGTGCTTCCCTGTCAGCTTCTGTGTGTGGACCTGCTTCTCTGTCAGCTTCTGTGTGTGGACCTGCTTCTCTGTCAGCTTCTGTGTGTGGACCTGCTTCTCTTTCTCCTTTCCCACAGAGCAAACCTGAGGAAGGGCACTGTGCTGATGAGGGCAAAGTCTATATCGCCACCCAAGGTTCCCTGCAGAACACAGTCGCAGACTTCTGGGAGATGGTTTACCAGGAGAACACGCATGTCATTGTCATGACAACCAAGGAGATGGAGCGTGGCCGGGTTAGTGAGACGAGCACGGCTGGGCTAGTCATCTTCTCACGCTGCCCACTGAACCATAGGCTCATGTACCACAATTACCACAGTTACCAGAGTACAGCATTTATTAGTAAACCCAACAGGACTTTCCACTTTGCATTTTTAATTACTCAATATGTTGCAATAATTGGTATGTAAGTATACCTTAACATTCTAACATACCATAACAGCTTTAATATACATTAATAACACACATTATATGATAATAACAAACATTATAATCATAAAATAATGTAAAACTGTTATGGTACGTTAGGATGTATTATTACATGCTGCTTATGAATGTTCTATGAATGCATTACAAAGGCATTATGAAGGTGCAGTTAATGTCAAATGTTACCATATGATTTATTTGTACATGCGTGTTTGTTTGGGTTAGAACAAGTGTGTGCGGTACTGGCCAGACATTGACTCCACAAAAGAGTTTGGAAAACTGAGCATTAGGAACACCAGTGAGTGTCCAGCACAGGATTACATCTTGAGGGAGCTGGAGATCACGCGCCTGAACACGGTGAGAGCAGCAGCCCCCACCCCACAAATTGGCCAGTCTGCGTGTATGGGCTGAATGCACTAAATGAACTACTTAACTGTCTCCTGTGGTTCACTGTATGTGTCTCTGAATCACTGTCTGACTGACTATCATTTGCACTGTATGTGTATTTTAATTTATTTTCTCACATTTGGTTTGTGTTCAGTATATTGCCTCACTGTGTTCAGTAGTTTTGCTGAGGTGCCTATAGTATTAAAGCCCCTCTTTCTCTGACTGCGTTGAATATAGTCTCAGTATGTCTCTTTTTTTACGAAATTTCAGTGTGTGTTGGACTGTGCTAAGTGCATATTTACCTTCTCTGAGGTTCTGGCTCTACCACCGTGTTCAGCTATTGCTAATTATTTGCACTTGCCGCAGTGCGACGTGACCTTCGACTCACTGGCTTTTAGTTAAAGCCCATCCAGCAGATATTACATGTTTTTCTGATCGTCATTTGCTTCCAGTCTGAAGCACCCAGGTACATCTGGCACTATCAGTACCTGAGCTGGCCAGATCATGGTGTCCCTAACGAACCGGGAGGAGTTCTCAGTTTTCTGGACCAGGTGAACCAAACTCAAAATGCACTTACGGAGACTGGGCCCATAGTCGTCCACTGCAGGTAAAAGTAATAAATCACCTTGTATTCTAGGTATTACCCATAGGCCTTTGTGTCTTCCAGTGGCATTTTCATATATTATTAAAGCACAATTGTGAGATATTTTTAATAATTCATTTAGTCGCTGTGTGTTCTAAAAGGGTTCAGCCGCTCAAGGTCATAATTAAGGTCGACATGTGTAGGATATCTGCTTATTTTATAATTCACACACTTTCTTGGGAAATTCTGGGAAAAATGTAATAGAGAATCCATACGTACAGTTTTTTGTCTCTTCTGTTTCTTTCTTACAGTGCAGGAATCGGAAGGACAGGAACTATAATTGTAATTGACATCCTCATTGACATCATTAACAGGCAAGGTGAGGCATGTAAGACAGCCGGCCTTTGGGACCGTCTCAGTCCCTGACACTGGTGATGTAAGACACACAGCATCGCTAAACCCACAGCCCTCTTACCCCCCCGCCCAGGCCTGGACTGCGATATAGACATCCCGAAGACCATCCAGATGGTGCGGAGGCAGCGCTCAGGCATGGTTCAGACCGAGGCCCAGTACAAGTTCATCTACATGGCTGTGCAGCAGTATATCGACAGAGCCCAGAAAAGGCTGGAGGAGAAACAGGTAACGCCGGAAGCCCGAAATACTTCCCTGCAATTTTCTATATTTAATGTACAGTATTTTGCAAAAATCTTAGGCAGCCAAAGAAAATAATGTTTAAATAATCTTCATGTTGCTGTAAAACAATGATATTATGTCTGCCAGTGTGCGTCAGCTTAGCCATTTCAAAGCCTCTGCTAAAATCACAGCAGTATTTACAGCCACTGTCCAGCACCACACCATGTTTGGGTAATTGGTACCTCATTGACTTATTTAACTAATTAAGTTCAATAATTAATTGAGCTGGTGGTGAAATGTAACTAATACGCGGAATGGCTGAGGCGGCCCTGAGGGGAGGTTTGGGGACTGAAACCGTGTTCATCTAGACATCCAACAAGATACCAGTAACTTTCTGGAGAACAGAAGAAATTCTACTAGTTTTTATCGTGCTATTCTTATTGTGTTTTTTTTTCTTAGCAAATATACACTTTTTACCCAGATAAATAGCCTTAAACATTTTCTTTGAATGCCTTTGAAAGACTTTTGCACAGTATTGTACCAATTCCTTATCAGATTCTGCTGTTTTGGTCACAAGTTAAGTTACATAACCTCTTAATGACTGGCTACATGGAATAATACCTGGACTAACTTGCACTATAGAGGTTTGGTGGAGAGTGTCGTGGGGGGATGTGACCTCACAGGCGTGTCTCCTTCTACCTCTTGCAGAGAAGTAAAATGAAAGAGTGGGAGTGTAACGTTAAGTACCCGCAGATGAGTAATGCCAAGCTGAATGCCAACATGTCCACAGGGCGGCCCTCCTCCTCCGTGTGAGTAGCTGCCCACACGTCTGCCCATTTGCTGGCACAGAAACATGACGTGACTCTCCTGCTGCAGGTCCCCTTTGCGACCGAGCACCCAGTTAGTGACTGAGCTTAACGTTTAAACCCTAAGTGTGTCTGACGGTCATTCTGAATGACTTAAAGCAAATATCTGCCCATAATATTGATTAGAACCCGCATTGTTTTCTTTGATGTGTTTCATCCACCAGCAGTTTGACAAAGCAGATTGTCCCCCATGTTCTTTGTGCAGGATGAATGACAGTCCATCAGGAGTATATGAGAACCTGAACATCAAGAACCCAAAGGCCGCTGGGCACATCGGTACCCGCAGATAAGACACATGACCGCTGTCCGTCTCACGCCTTTACCGCGCTTTGTGAGTATATAGGCAGCGCACAGGATAAGATGGCGGGAAACAGGGCCTGAGCAAAGGCAAGCAGGAGGAATAGAATGTTTTTCAGTTACGTTACCCCACAGTGTGAGATGGTAATGAGCATGCGGCTCAGTCAGCTAAACCTCTGTGGCTGTGATTGGAAGGCTGCCGACTGGAGGCCGGCCTCAGCAGAGTAACTGCATCTGTCGGCCATTCAGCAAGGCTCTTAATCTACAGGATCCACTGCAGGTGGCTGCCCTTCACTGCCAAGTGAAGACTACATATGTGTCATGGAGAGCAAGATGGGGCAGGCAAACAGAGAGCATTCCCACAGGGGATTGATAAAGTGTCATTATCGTTGTATCAGATGCAGTGAGTGTATGGTTATGTTCCAGTGTACTGTATTTGCAGCTCCACTGCTCAGAACTAACTCAGTTGTACTTAGGTATGTGCCTTTTATGGGCTTTATTCACTAGGAAATGAATCCCAGCCTTGCAGTTTGCACATGGAAACGTGTGTTTAGTTCTTTAACATTGTTTCACATAGCATTATTAATATAATAAACATTTAGAGCATACCGTGTTCGTTGTGCGCAGTGAATTAATTTTTAATAAGGCTTGTGTGACTGTGTGTGCAGCATAGGTGCTGGTACCTGCCGCAGTGAAGGATTCCTCACCTGATGGATGATGGTTCCTGTTCTCTGACCTCCAATATCGCTGTGATTTGGAGGAGGAGCAGAGGGTATCGCCTTGCCCCCCTGCTCAATCATGGAAAACAAACAAGATTTCGTCCAACAACTCAGTCCCTCACTGTCGCTTTTCTGTCGGCCCCTCACGCCATTGTTAGTGCTGTAACTGGCTTTTAAATGCAAATTAAGTGCCTCTCTGAGCAAAGTTCTAATGACCTTGACCTCATTATAGTCCACCCTGATTGCACCTGTTTCTCCAGCTTGACTCTGACGTCCTCATCGGATCAGGAGTGGCTTACAGGCATTAGGAAGATGGTGTTACTGACCACCAACATTTCATGGATGGCTACTGGCTTTACTGGTCATTCTTTTCTTGCTGAATTTACTACTGTCTAAATGTAAGAATATTTTTGTGTTTATGTTGAGTATATTTTTAATGTGTCTAGTTTATCTACGGGAAGCAAAAGGAGTAGCAGACTTCCTCCACTTTGTCTGCTTGGCCTACTGGACAGATCTGCTATAACCAAAGACCTCAGACTTGATGGACTTCCAAATCTCGCCTAGGATGTCTGTGTGGAATCACACTGATTTGCACTTTTTGTGGGATGAATATTGTTGTATTGATAGAGCGTAATGAAGATATTTGTAATTTTATTTTGTAACCCTGTAAGGCACTGTATACGTCGGAGTTTTGGTGTCTTGCCTCACCAATATCTCGCCCCCAAAGTGATATCCTGTTGCACTCACTGCCTTTGTCACTAAAACCGTCTTTCTGCACCACTGATACCGACTTCCTGTGCCCCCCCCCCCCCGTGTTTTCAACTTCCTTCCTCTGTGTCATTGACACTGATTCACTGTGCAGTACACACCTTCCATTTGTGTCACTGATCTAGACTTCCTGATGCAGACTTTCTGCATCACTGCAGAAAGCACCGGATTCGCTTTTCCTTCATGGAGAAAGTGTAATCTTTTCAGAAGGGCCTTAGTGAAACTTCCTTGAATGCAATTCTCTTCTGGACGTTCCTCGTTAGCTCAGCATATAGACAGGCTCAGAAATTCCGAATTAATTCAGTGATACAGAAAATGGATGAAAGCTACGTCATAATAGCCATGGAAATATTACAGATAATTCAGCATTTTAAACATCCAATGGAAAGCTTGGAAATTATTGTATCTTTGCTACTAAGAGTCTTGCATACTGAGCAGTAGGGGTTACATGAGAGAGCAGGAAATACTGTCTAATGTCTAAAATATGTTACTGCTGCAGGAAACCTGACGAGGGCTGTTTATCTCTGAGCTTTTGAAGTTGTCGTTCAGAGACCCTTTCATAGGAATGACACATAATGGATTATGTCATAATGCTGCAAATTATTTATTAATCTGCATTAACTTTACATCATAGTTGCATAATTTCAAATGTGATATATAGTTGACAATATGCAGGTTGTATTATTTATTTAAAGGATGAAAAATATATATGATCAGTGTTAGAGAAAATTGTTTTATTTATTAATTTATGAATGAATAGCTTAATATTGGTGACAACTACTGCAGTTTTCACTGCTGGGTGTTTTATGATCCTGCTTCCTGCCACAGGAAGATAAAAATGCTGTGCTTTTATTTTTAAATATGTATTTTTATATAGCTCCTTTTAAATTGGTTTTATTCTGTATCTGAAAGGTTGTTTTTTGACAGTGTCCAGGGGATGTTGCTGAGCAGTGACTGTAGATGTGTGTATAGGAAGAGGCATCCATTCTCGTATACTGAGAAGATCTTGTAGGGCAAACTTACATTCAAACAGACTTGCCCTCTTTATAAATAAATAGCGTGACAACGTGAATTCTCTGCTGTCAGGAATTAATTCTACAGACATTAATGTCTGGAAGACTTGGAGAGCCGTGATGGATGTTGGCCGTCCTAGTTTACATTGATTTGACAATGACGGAGTACTGCTAGGGTGGAACTGAGTATTGGATCTGGGTGGAAATGATAGGTAATGACGGAGATGGCAGTATTGCACTATAACTGACACACACAGGAACTTTTTCTGTGTAGCGAAGTCTTTGGGTAAAATAGTGTATAATGAGCACTGTGAGTGAAAGGCAGAGGATTTCCTGCCTCTGCCACGTAGGAAGAGCTTATCGGAATTTTTTTTTTTTTGTTGTTTGTTTTTTTGATTGAAAACTTCGTATTTTTGTACTTACTCTCTGGAATAATATGGCTCTGGTGGTAAATGTGGAAAACCATAAATACTTGAAATGCTGTTTGTATGGAGCTGTTCAGAAATATTTGCGATGTAATAACCTTTAGTGACCAGAACGGCAGTGTCTACCATGAAAGAGAAATAATTGAGTAATCGACTTGGTATTTGCCTGCCAGTGTCAATTTTTAGATAACATTTCAAATGTTCATTGTGTAGTAAATTAACATTTTTGTATTCTTTAGCAATGTTTTGACTCCATCCTTGTTTTTATTGTTATTACTATGATAATAATTTTGTTGTTGTTATTATTATTGTTATTATTATTATTATTATGATGGTAACCTATTATATATTTGACAAGGACACTGCATCCAGTGCAGCTACAGTGTCATTGAATCTATCAGTATGCACTGCAATCAGATGCATTTCTTTTACTCTCCCTGCATTTCCTTAATGTTTAATAGCATAATGTTGGTTTTTGTCTTGTCCTTCCTTTTGGTTGCCATGTGTCTCTTCTGCACTGGGTTATGCCAGTTGTCCTATTCAACTGTGTGGCTCAGTCTGCCACCATGACTAATACTGCAGTGTTACAGGTCATGAAAGAAAATATTAAATAAGTAACATCAATCAATCTTTTGTCTAATTGTTGGTGATTTTTTTTCAATAATGGCAGACAACTTTCCAGTAGAATTTAAGTAACTTTAAAATGTGAGGACGTTGTGTGTGATATTGAGATGATCTCATGTTATTTCCACAGATTTCCTTCAGTTTTCTGGTACAATCCAAGGGATTCCATTCACAGGACATGAAAAGTATGCTTGCATGCTGTATCTTAAGTGCCTGGGTCTTTGTGATGGCTCATTCACTTGCATTATTTAATCAAGGATAATCTGTAACGCCCTAACAACAAGGGTAGTGCTTATGACATACTACTGCTAAGTTATTTCACTGGCTAAATAGTCCACAAAGAGTAACCAGAAATAAATACCAAGTAAACAAACAAACGTGTGGCCACGTTTTGTCTGGGTTTTCGGCATAGGATAGATCACCTCTCTGACCACAGTTGCTTTGGTGACCTTTTGTTGGATGGTGTTTGATGACATTATTTCATAGTAATAGGTTCAGAGCTGCTTGTCTCTTGCTTAACTCTTGATTTAGTTCCCAAACCAATGCCTAGACTTCACAGCTGAAAGTTGCAGCCACTTCGTGCATGACCTCAGTCATTGTTTTTTTTTGTTGCCATCGTACTTTATCACTTGAACCTCCACCCAGCCGTGACCCAATAATCAGCCACTCTTCTACTAACCATGATACCCAGAATAATGTAAACACTTCCATGACTGAAAGTAGATATACCTAGAAAACTGCATTTCATTATACAGTGCACCCCCCCCCCACCTCCGTATCCATGGATGGTATGTTCCAAGATCTACTGCAGAGAGCCAAACTAAATTATCCACAGCAAGGTATTAAAACATCACATACAGTAATAATAGAGTACATTATGCATTATTACATGATACTGTAAGCCTGCTCTCTCTTGAATGAAAGGGATTCTGACATTTTAGCCTAATTCTCGAGAGACAATAGAGCAAGGAAAAAGTTCTCACGTTCTGAAGGGATGACAGTAATGAAAATCATGCTTTTTATAACCCTCAAAGGATTGAAGAAACAATGAAAAAACATATAGTTACAAATATTACAATTCATTTTTTGCAGTTACTGAAACTGTGGATATGGGCGGACTGTTGTGTTTTATATATCATTTGTTCATGTTCTCTGCTTTATTTTGGTAGTTATCTTGAGGATGAATTAGCCCTAAGGAAAACATTGATCTTTTTTTCTCATTGTTACTACACAGACAATATACAAATAATTCAACATGGAGCATGGAATTTCATTTATTCTTGTCTATTCTCTATTAGATATGGGATAGAACAAACTTTATACATGAAAATAAAATAAATATATTAGTTGTATCGTTACTGGACAAAACATTTTCAAACAATATCTATTAATGCATACAGAAGCGTTTCCAAATTATTTGTCTTGCATAGATTTTCTTCTCTTAAATTCTTAAAATGTTAGTTATTCTATATTGCTGTTATCATTTCTAAACAAGTGACACCTAATTTCATCACTGACCAGTAAGCTGATAAATCATTGCTGACAAAATATATGTGATATGTGACATATCATGCCTTTAAGGATATTAAATGCCATCGCTAATGCAAATTCTTCAAGGTAATAAGCACAGAAATTTCTTATACTTGTGCTTGCCTAATATAATATTATTCAGTAAACATATAACATTACTAATGTTATTACCTGTAATGTTTTACCTTGTGGGGACATTTCTCTGTCCCCACAAAGATTACTTCAATTATCTGTGACTGCAATCAAAAAACTAAAAATGCCAAAAGTCTTATGTTTGGTTGCTTATGGTTAAGGTTAGGGCTGGGTAGAGGTTAAGGTCCTCATGTTGAAATTAGAGTTTTCCACCTAGAAATGAATGGAGAGTCCCCACAAAGATATAATTGCAAAGCTGTGTGCGTGTGTGTGTGTGTGTGTGCGTGTGTATGTGTGCGTCATAATATTACTTCCCATCGCTGGAGAGTAGTACTCCTTAATTAAGAACTGATTTATTCCCTGAATCAATTTCCAACTCATTGCATCAGGATTTATTTTAAGACCTAAAACCTTTTGATCTCAAATTCTGTACTCTATTCTGTTCTCCTAGTAAGGAGATTTCCTACCTACTTATTCATTGTGTTCTTTAGAATTTATGCCTCTGAATAAGATGCTTTTGCTCATAGTATAAACTAAACAATGAAATATATAATGTAACCGTCTTTTGAATCTTGCAAATAAGAAAAATCCTTGCATCTTATTGCTGGCTGTTGCATAAGTACCTCATTCACACCTGTTCCTTCCTATTTCTGCTTACTCGGTGGCACGCATTAGTATCTTACATCAGCATGAGCTTTATTTTCCAATCAAATACTTACTACTCAACACCAGCACTCTTCCTGGGTCAGATCCTACAACATCCTGTCTCAGGTACAGTATTTCTGTCATAACAGCCACAGAAGGACTATTTACTTTCAGATATACTATGTTTTATTACTTTTTGACCTTTTGTTCTCTTTTAAAGGAGTGCAGCACATCCACTCATGAATACCAAACAGCTTTCTCTGTCTGTCTCTGTCTCTGTCCAAACCTTCAAGGAGTTACACATGAGGACTGCTTCTCTACACTTTTTGGACCTGAAATTTAGAAGAAACTTAAAACATATCAAACCAGTAAATGTGTTGTTTATTGTTTTTTTTTTTGTTATTATTAATCTGGCTATGCATCATACAAGAACAAGCCTAAAACACCTTTACAAATTCAGTATGCTAATAATACATATGTTTTGCACAACGATGTATGTCAACTTGTATTAAATTTTAGCTTTCAGGTAATTAAGGAGCAGAGATGTTTGTGTCTAATTCTCTTACACATTTCTTCTGGTTTCTAGTGAGCATAAGCATTTTGTACTTAAATGCATAACAAACTAGTATTTTAAACCATCATGAAATATTATGTTGAACTGTAATAAAATATTACAGTTGATTGATAATAATTTACTATTCAAAATTACTCATATTAAATGCAGACTGTCTGAAAATGACTTGGGGATTCTTTAAAGATATGGGTTTAAATTACTGTATATACAAGTTTATTGCTTAATAATCCATCTTTTCTTCACATCAAATTTTCCCAGACAGCACAGACCCCTTGGTAAACACTGGATAGCATTCCAGTCCTAACAGACATTGCGTAGAATTTGGCCACTAATTAAACTATGTATCAGGAGGAAACCTGCAAGAACAGATTTAGTGAAGCAATCAGACCAGCAGACTTAGAGGTTTGAAGCTACACTGTTACTGCTTTGTTCCTTTTATTTGCCACTGGACATTTTATTTATTTGAAAAACACCGAAGATGGAAGCAAAATTCCAGAATTCAAATTTATATGTTCTACTGTTGCAGACTATTCATACACAATGTAAAATAGATGCAAACATATACATCTTTTAATAGAATGTTTTAAAAAAATAGTACTTTGATTTTGTGCATGGAAAATAGTTTCCTATTCATACCATTGTTCCATATACAAAACAGTCTTAGAATTTATTAAACAAATACGTAACGAATACAAGTTTGTTTGATAGTTACAAAGTCAAAGATTTATTAAGTGAGCGGAGTTTATGGTTAGCAGGTTTGTTCTTGGTTGTAGTCAGTATGGTACTGATGTTAGTGAAAAAGAATTGTGGCGGATATTACATTTGTCATGTAAGTTTTATGTTTGCTATACATGTGCAGTTCATTTGATTGTAAGCAAACAAACAGCACAACAGTCTTGAAACCAATGCATTCAATGCAACTAGTGTCAAAACCCTACGATTGTAGGTGGATGTTCACAGATCAGTTCATCACTTTACTGTACTTTGTCTGTAGGTGCATGTATGCGCTCCCAGATCAGTCTGTTAGTATAAGCTACCATATTCCCAGATCACAGATCACAGATGGGTGTTTCTATATACCCTATCAGAACCTCACTATAATGAACCATACTGACATACATACTTATAATGCAGGGCTGCCGACTCTCACTCATCTGGAGTGACACTCATGCTTTCAGACTCTCATACTCAAACAAGAAATTTTACAGCAAATCTATATTATTCCATTACAAACCTAAAATTAGCTACGTCAAAAGTGTTGGAGCAGTTTTCAAACCTCATGGACTATATACAAGGTAATAAAACTGTTACATACATGTAAATGCATGTGCAGGCTGGTCTGAAATTGAAAATCTCATGCCAGCCAGCTGACCAAAGTTAGCAACCCTGATAATGTGTTCGACAACCTGAGAGTTCGAAGGTCGACATACGTGTTCCCAGATCATTTTGTTAGTATTGACCATACACCGTCTGTTTTCAGTCGGGTCTATGTGTTTTCCGAAGGATGTACGTAATTGGAGGTATTGTGGTAGGGTCATAGAATGGGGATTCATCCTCAGCTATGCAGCTCAGCGAGCCAGTGAACAGCATGCAGTGCATTGGCCACAGGACAATGCACAGCACTACCATTATCAGCAAGATAAGAAGCACCAACCGCTTCCAGTGTTTGTGCAGCCTCAGTGGATATGGAAGCCCATTCTGCATCGAGCCTGGAGATTGTTCCTGCTCCTGTTCTGGCTTATTAGCGCCAATGTCAATACAGATGCAGCTGACAGTATGTCCAGTGTTGGGTGGCCTGTAGTAGCAGAGCTTCTTACCTTCCAGCCATACAAGCTCTTCCTGCTGCTGGTGGGCTGGCAGCTTGTCCAGGACCTCCTGGCTCGTAGCCAGAGCTGGTGGGCCCCTATCTGGTATGGAAGTAGCATGTCGGCAGAAGGGGCAGGGAATCTGGCCATGTTCTCTGCTTGGAGACTGGGCCATGAGGCGGGACATGCACTCTAAGCACAGGGTGTGGGTACAGTCCAGCAGCTTTGGCGTTTTGAAAACATTGTCATAGGTGCTGAAGCAGATGCTGCACTCGGGTCTCTCCGCAGCGTCTTCGTGCTCCTTGGGGGGCGTGGCCTGTGTGTGCCACACCTCTGCTGCCTGGGTCATCTTTAAACAAGGCAGAGGGAGGCGGAGTTCCAGTTTACCTTCTTCCTTTGTGCTTTTTTTTCTGTGCCAAGTACTGAAAAGCAGTTACATAGAAAAAAAAATGTACCTGTTGACAAAAGGGCAAACTTCAGTCTAAAAAGCATTGCTCATAGAATTAGGTGCTAAGCATCAATCAATCAATAAATCCCTTATCCCTTGACATTAAAAGACATTTACAATAAAGAGCTTTGAGGATATACAGACAAAAAGCCTGTCAAGTGTTTGCTCTAAGTTTAGGTCCCTAGGTCTTAATTAGCTTCATGAACACTCAGCTATAGATGCTAATTACCTTTTAAAATGGAAAATGTATAATATCTAACATGTATATAAAAGGTTATATCCAAACTTTATTTGGAAATAATCCTGTGTTTGCCTAATGAGAATTGTGCAAACAGACCTTGGAGAGCTAAGCTTTGCTGTATGATGTCCTTCATGCTCCATTTCAGGGGACATCTTTATAGGCAAAGTGTCAGATTCTGTCAACATCTCTGCTGACAAACATGAAAATGCTGGCAAAACATTAAAAATGACACCTGGTTAAAGTGCCATGAAATATACTGTAGTCGTGTGTACAGCTGTGCACTTAATTCATGCCATTCACGGCTGTCCTTCATGTGTAGTGGGTCCTGTTAGTGACACACCTCATCTACATCAAATCGTTTTACACACCTAAAAATGCAGAATGTTTGCGTGCTTGTTGCATTTTAATTTTTTAATGGTGTGGATTTAGTTTAAAATTCTTCAGCTAGATTTCACAGTAAATTGAGAAACTGTACAATCATTTCACTTTTAATACTAGTCAAATCTTAATTCTTAGTGTACAGTTTGAGGAACACTGAACGGCTATGTAGGCTAATAATGCTACAAATGTGTTACTTACCATGCACTTATCTTATATCTTACATCCATGCTTTATATTCATTCATTCAGTGAACACTTTAGTGCAAAGTGAGTTACAGGTACAGGTACAATAAGTCAGTAGGTTGTTAGCTTTATGAAGGCTGTTACACAGATGCTCTAAAGTGCTAGAGAATAAAGCATTTGGAGGTACCTGTGCTGCTGCTGGATACTGATCCCCCTTCTCGCAGTATGATTTCCCAGTTCTTCAATCAACAGCAGATCTTGCCTCCCAGGTGGGGGTTCCGCTGGTTATTCCAGTTGCCTCTAACTCAGAGCTTGCAGTAGGAGTAGCTGTCTCATTAGCCTGCTGTGGAGTCTAAATGCGTGTTGGGCTTGTAAATTACAGTAATAGGAAGGACACGGGCTTTTAAGAGTGGATTGGAGGGTGGGGACTGGGAGGCAAAGAAGGAAACAGGAATAAAATATGCTTCCTTAAAGCCCACATGCATGTTGTATTATAGCAAGTCATTCTGTATTTACAGCTCTGCATTTCACAAGCGGGCTATGATGTCATAATTCCACGATGGATGTGGTGTTGTCTACTGTTTCCATGCTGTTGGATGTTTGGCATGACTCATCATTTTGATATGATTCGTCAGCCTATTTTGATGGGAATATGTGATGTTATGCCCACTACACCATTATCCTATTAAAATAGGTTTTATATTTCGCAAAATGTTTACATAGCACTAACCTGCTGAAGTAGCTCATAAATTCTATACAATTAGTGAATTTATGACACTGGTGATGTGAGCATAGTACCTCCATACAAAAGTCTGAGAAAACTGTATTGTGGCAATACTTATGAAGATCTAGAAATGTTAGTCAAGTCAGGTTTAATAGCAAAAACGTAGCTTTAAAAGCAGGGTGTCACGCTCGGAGACGGAGGCAAGCAGGGAAGCAGGAGCGCAAGCCAGGACGTCAGGTAAACAGGATTTATTCAGGGAGGGACGGGCACGGACATCAACGTGACACTACAACAATGACTGATCTGGGGATGACTGACTCTGACAAGGACTAAATACACAAGACAAGCTAGACTTAATAAGACACAGGCGAACACAATCAGGGTTGAACACGAGGTAATGAGGGGGGCGTGGCACACATCGGGATCGTACGGAGCAGGGTGTGACACAGGGGTGTCCAGTTTTAACCAGAAAGGGCCGTTTTGTGTGCCTGTTTTCACTGCAACTTTTCACTGCCAGTTTTCACTGCAAGATTAACTGGCCGAAGAGTCCTCACACCTGGGTTTGAACAGCTGACCTAAAGGTTATCCCAAAAACCTGCGTACACACTGGCTTTAAAGCAACTTCATATATAATTTGTGGAAAAGATAATCAATGTCCCCCACTCTAAACCCAAATATCCTGATTCTTTCAGCCAATGGATTTTTTTAACCAGTATGAGATGCAAAAATGTACATATTTTATCTGTGTTCAGGTTCACTCAATCCACTACCATTTCCTTGTTTGATTAATTTTTAATTGATACTTTTTATTTATCCCCGTGGGGAAATTGTCTTTACGCCTCCCTCAACTTGCTCTTGTAGAGTAAGTTGTCTGCGAAGGGCAGCCACCCGTAGCGGTGCCCAGCTGATTAGCAACAGCTACTGAAATGCCCAGTGCTGGTACCATGTGATTAGTCAGAAAGAGTGTAATATAAACAAGGAAAGAACCTGTAAACAAAGAAAGCACTTCCTCTTTTCTCTTGCGGGAATAATTAAGATGGGTGTGATTGTGCGACACGTGTTTAATGCACATCTTTCAGATGTAACACACGGATAAGCAGTGAGCGTATGGATCTTAGAGTGTGTTCTTACATGGATGGACACTGTTAAATGGGCATGTGGCCTGTTTAGTCAGATCTAGCTGGATACACAATCCTGTTTACCAGCAGACTACCTTTGCCAAGCATTAATATGCCCTTGACATTGGAGGCCAACATAAAGTCTATAGTCACAGCTGCATTGCTACCAGCCAACACTTTAGTAAAAAGATTAAATAGGCAATGATCACCTCTTTCTCTGATAATAGTAAAAACGTTGTTTTAAGCCGCCTCGTATATAATTTGTGGAAGAGCTGAGCAATAATCCCATGTCAGCGGGAATTTCTTTCCTTAATATAATGAATGAGACAGAGGTGCAGACGCTCGGTCTGAGGGATGGTATCTGACGTACATTAGGTTTTAGGCAGTTTCTCCACTACCAACATTCCAAGTAGCATTATGTGACATCATTTGTTTCCTCGATTCTGTGTTGCAGCATCTCTTTGATGTTTGGCATCGAGCCCCAATCCTGCTTCATTTACAGCCCCAGGCCAAAGAAGGTTCATTTTTCTATTCAAAATTTGAAATACCTAAAAATTTATATTGCAAAACGTGACATATATAAATATATTTTTTTCAGTTATTAAAAAAGTTAAATAGTGTGGCTGTTAGAGGCCAATGGGAAAATGGATCTGAAAGTGAATGGAGACTGAGCAGTGGGGTGTAATAGGGTCGGGTCTTAACCCAAACCTTATGTCTGGGTGTATCACAGCTCCAAAACTGAGGGTCCATTGATGCAAACAATCATGTTGAGTAGTGATATACAGCTCTGGAAAACATTAACAAAAATCTGTATTCTTAAATCCTGGATCTGCTGGCAGAGGCTACACTGAGCGGCAGGCTGCTTCCAGACTCAAGGTTTCTAAGACAGCAGGACACAAGAACAAGGTGAAGCAGGGGACACTGGCAATGACCAAACACCAGCCAGGTAAAGGGCAGAAGCGACTTTCTAATGACCGTCAACATATCTGACAGTGCCTCATAAATCAGAGGATGACCTCAAGTGACCTTCAAAAGGAATGGGAAACGTTAAGTGCAGGTGTGAAGTGCACTGCTAGGACAGTTCATAATAGTCTCCTAAAAGCAAGACTGAAGACCCATACAACAAGGAAGAAGAGCTTCATTAATGAGAAGCAAGGAAGAGGGGGGCTGGAGTTTGCAAAAAATTGTATATTTTACCCAGGCGGTTACCCATAAATGGAGAAATTAGTGAAACTGACAGTGTTGCTGTGGTCTCTAAATTCCCAGAGCTGTACATTCCTTACTTGTTTATAGGTTGTTATACAGTAGATATCAGCTGTTCTACTATGTATTATCTATTTTTACAACAAAATTTTACACATGTATTATCCTTTTAAAGTATTTCCCGTGCAATGAAAATAATAAATACTATGAACTCCCTTTCCAGTAACAGGCATATCAGTAAAGCTCAAAGGTCTCTTTTAGTATTTTATTGCTGAAGTATAACAATTTCAATGGTTAAAACACAGGAGAAGTAAAAAACAAGGATCATAATATATGTGTGCAGCATGATTGATTTCACTAATGCGTAACAAATATGCCACTTATGGATTGTTGTCTAGATGTTATGAATTTTAAAAGGTTGAAGCTGTTTTAAGCTGTTTAGATTTATGAAGCACATACTGTAGGGTTTTTGCCAATCTCAAAATGTAAAAGCATTTACTAACACTTTACTTAAGGCCACGTTTTTTGTCATTTATAAACACCTTCATAACAAATAATAATGCATTCATAAAGCATTATAAACATGGCTAAAAATATTTATAAAAAGGCATAACACATAGCCATGTTTATTACACATTATGAATTACTAATGCTCTATGAAGCTGTCTTCTATAATGCACTATAGATACCTTCATAATGCATTATAATGGTCAGTATAAGGATGCTTTGTAGTGCATTATGAACATATTCAGAGTGAATTATAAATGAGACCTTCATAGAGCATTCATAATGCATAATAAACATGGCTATGCGTTATGCCTTTTTAATAAATATTTTTAGCCGTGTTTATAATACTTTATGAATGCATTATGAATGTGTTTATAAATTTCAAAAACATTCAAAAAATGTTACCAAGAATTTCTTTTTCACAGATAAGTCAATATTGCAAATAATTATTTATAATGAAGTATTATTTTAAGCACTTTTAATAGTCATCCCACTGCTGTGCAGAAAAGAGCAGGCATTATGATTATAAATAATGTCATATCAGAGAACAGTAAAATAAACACAACAGGCCTGTAAACTGATAAATAATCAAGTGTCCAGTGCCAGTGTGGGTGGGGGTGTAGGTATTTTTAGGCTTAGGTAAGGGGGCCAGCAAGGTTTCGAGTGTCCTGACAGCCTTAGGGGGGGAAGCTATTGTTGAAGCTGGCAGAACAGGCTTAGACATGGCAGAACGCCCTGCCAGACGGGAGCAGGACAGAGTCTATGGGGAGGGCAGACTGCAGTATGAGGAAGATGGGAGACAGAACCAGGCTTTTTTTTCCCCTGAATGCAGCGTCCGGGACTTTCCATACAAATATACAACAGAGAGGTAGCTAGACTTGCATTTCTCAGTCACTGTAGGGAATGAAGATGCTGCTGTGCCTTCTTGGCCAGGGTGGATGCAGTGAGAGTCCAGGCAAGGGCTTCCACCAAATGCACCCTGTGAAATCTGGAGCTCCTAACTACCTATAGGCTTTATCCCATTTGCCCCACCAAGTACAGACTTACACACTACAACACTTAGCAGGCATATTCACGCTCTTAGCACAAGTATCCATTGTGTCCCATTATACCACAAGGATGCAGCCTTAAGCTAAGTATATAGACCACAAAACACTGCATCAGCGACGACTAATGTTTACATCGAACGAGGAAATCTGACGGCACATCAGAGTGCAACATGCCTCTAAAATATTTCAGTTTAAGTGGGCAGAGTTGTATAATGAATAAGAACATAATGCGTACATAGCCTAAACTGCAGTGAAGGGCAACCCCAAGCACAACAAACAAAAATGACAACATACTTGTATCGTGTCTCATGTTCACTTCTTCGACTATGAAGTGTGTCCCATCGCATTCAAGAAATCCCTGCACACTTGCGCTCTTCACATACACTTGTGCACTTTGCGTCTAACGTCAACATACGTCACCAAAGTGTTGTTATGACCACTTTTGAGACAGGCTCAACAAAAAAGGGACCAGACATAAAAGATAAGGGTAAAGGGAACCTAAACACCCTGTCCAGGAAGAACACCAGCACAGAGCCAAGTGATAATTAAGTGGAACACTTTTTGGGAGAAAAGCAGAACTCAATATATATATATATAAGTAAAAACAAAATAAAGGGCCAAGCCAAACAAAAGTCATCTGCGCCTAACTACACTGATATCTACAACAGACAAAAAAAAAACAGAAAAACAATTAATATAACTCCTCTCCAACATCTAAATAATACAAGGTCCTCAAAGCATAAAATAAAAACACACACACACACACACACACACATGTAGGGTAAACATATCCTTATGGGGACCGCTCATTCATTTCAATGGGATAAATTCTAACGCTAACTATGACAACCTTAACCCCTACCCTGCCCTAACCATAACCACAAGTAACCTAACAAGATACAAGAGTTTTCGCATTTTTAGTTTTTTCATAGCAGTCACCGATTTTTATAAAATAGAGTTTTCCCTTATGGGGACCAGGAAACCGGTCCCCATAGGGGGAAAAAAAACGGATATTTATCACGTTATGGGGACATTGTGTCCCCATAAGGATAGGTAAACCCGCTCGCACACACATACACACACACCAAAAATCAGTCTTTCATGACACTTAGGGTTCACAAGCAAGCAAACAGCAAGAGAGTGAGGATCAAAAGTCCTTACTGTGTGAGCTATTTAAAACCACAGAAGATACCACAATTGAAAGAGCAACCAAACTTACACAAGAAAAATACAAACACATAGCTGAAGGACTGTAACATTTCTTCATCCCCAGAACATTTAACATGGTAAAATGGGCAAAACCCTACCTAGACCTAGACAAAGAATCAGCTAGGATATTATCAGACCCTTTTTTATGCTTAATCTCGATATTGTACTTCTGTACTATTAAAGTCCATCCCATTCGTTTTTGGCTATATAATGCGATATAAAATCACTAATGGATTATGATCTGTGTATAGCACAACTGGAAAAGAACTGCAGTTAACATAAACATCAAAATGTTGAAGAGAATTCAACCATGCATGGGCTACCTGTTCTATAATATCTTTTTCAGTTATTAAAAAAGTTAAATAGTGTGGCTGTTAGAGGTCAATGGATCTGCAAGTGAATGGAGACTGAGCAGAGGGGTGTATTTTTCAGTATTTTTATAATTTATAATAATTATAAATTGTAAAAATACATTTTTTTTTTGCTGTTTATTAAATTTGAGTGAATAATAACATACAGGATGACTCACACCGTCTTGGTCTTCTTGTACAATAACATCTCCAAGTCTAACAGCACTGGCATCCACTTCTGACCTGGAAAAGTCAGGAGCAGAAATAATATCCCACCTTCCCTAGAAATGTTCTCAGCTCCTGCTTGGTCTTTGGCCCTGGAAATGGAGACACAGTAGATACCTTTTCTGAAACAGGGTACACCTCTCCCTGTACTGCGATTTCCCCCCAAGTACCTTACTATGACTTTAGGAAATTCATATCTGAATAGTGAAGTGTCTCAGTGATCTTGCACTTTAGTGGGGTAAATGTAACAAAGCCATAGTGTCAAGCAGGCAACATGGGCCTTCCTGAAGTCAATATTCATCTTTGTTTTGTCCATGTTGTCCCAACTCCAGTCTGTATGCTGACTCATCACGGTTTCTGGTGAGACTCACTACTGTTGTGTTGTCAGCAATCTTGGTGATCGTGTCTGAGCTGTATTTTGCGGAACAGTCATGAGTCAGCAGGGTGAACGTAAGTGGGCTGTGCACTGAGACCTGAAACTGGAGCCCTGGGGAGCTTCACTGCTCAGTGCGATGGTGCTGCTGGCGATGTGAAGATGTTGCTGCCCATGAGGAATGTCTCTCGGTCCAGGAAAGTGTCCCTGGAGCAATTGGGGTCGAGGGCCTTAACAGTGAAATCACTTTACCGATCACAGGATTTGAACTGGTGACCTTCTGGTTATGGGTGTTTTTCCTCACTAAGGGGGGGGGGGGCTTCACAGCAGCTGTCTCTCTCAGTGCAGAGGAGCAGACCCTGCACCGTGACCCCCCCAAGCCATGGAGAGCAAGATGGGGTCAGCGAAGAGAAGCATTACAATGTACATGTACTTGTGCAAATGGCAGCTGAAACATGTTTACTTGTTAGTTCAAATTCCAGTTACACAGTAATAACAAATTCATATACAAATGTCAATTTATTTGAAAGAACTTCCTTCGACTGTTAAATTATATAAACTCATACAACCAAGACTTTTTACATATTTGTACACGAACATTTCTCATACAAAGTCCGTACATTTTTGTAGAAAAACTATATACAAATGTACATGTTGCTGCAGCTGATATATTACAAACATGAAATAAATTAATGTGCTTCGACTTCAAGCCTGGATCTGTTTCTTCAGTTCATTATTGTGACAACTGCTCAGTTTGAACTGTAAATATCTACATTTGTCTTCTGCATCTGTTCAACTGCTTCACAATTACTCTCCATGAATTAGACATCAGGTGTACAATAGTCACAATTATTATGAAATACCATTTTAGGTTTTTGAAAATGTTTAATTTAATACACAAAAAGCATACAAAACTATTCACATCCTTGGAGACTAGTCACAACTAGTTAAACCACAGGCTGGTCGGCTCTATCACCAGAATCCTTTTAACTAGGCACTAAGAGACATTCATTTCATGTGCAATGATTTTCTTTGGCAAAGAATGACAAATATATCTGCCAATAAGAACATTCCTGTGGAACATGATTACAAGCAAAACACAAAGCTGCAAGGGACACAATCCACAACCTTCAACTTTACAGCATTAACATACAGTATGTTCTTTAATAAATACATCACTGAAAAGTACAAATGTTCCTCTAGAAGGGAATAAACTGATTACTTAAAACAAAGGAAAACTGCTGGGATTTTGTATACTAATACATATATTACTTTGTATTTACACGTGTATCATATTTTACAAACTCAGCACATTTATGCACATCCATAGCTGGAATAGAGAGGGAAATTTCATTAGATATTTACGTTGAGCAAAATACACAATGTAACCGAAGCCCTGCAATACTTTTAGCAATTATTCAACATGAAGACAATTTTGTTTAACTTTATTTAACCCATTAATGTTAAAATTTTATGGGTTCTAGAGGAAAAACATGTAATTACAATGTTCAATTTGGTTCATGGCTCAAAACAACATATTTTTAAAAAATGCCAAAAACAAATAAAAACAAAGCAGAAATGCAAAATTAGAAAACCCTAAATGTAAAAAAAGAGTTTTAGAGAGAGTGCTACAAAGATCAGAAGGCACAACTCACCTCAGTCAACCTAATTGTGCTTGGTCCTTGACCACCAATAAACTGTTTTCTCTGAACAATTGCACATTTTTACTGATGGAAAATATTTTTCTTAATGTTTACTAAATCAATAAGCCACAGAAAGCTTCACAAACAAAAATTTGGCACCGAGTCTTCAACCAGCATAATCACATAATTCATATTTGGCTATATATCAAAAATGAACAGGAATATCGGTCTACCGAGGTACAGAAGCAAAAAAGAGCCTTTCTCCAAGCAGGTATTATTGGCCAGAATGCAGAAAAATTACAAAGACGTCATTAAAACGAACTAGTGAACGACCACCACTGGTCGTGACCACCACTTGAAGCACCTCCAAGACCACTGGCTCAGTCAATTCTCCATCACAGAAAATGGTCACTCTTTTGGCACCAATTTCGGCTTGTTCATGAGTTGCTCCTCATACATTGCTGACCTTGGTTATGGCTGTCGTAGAGATGGTGACAGCAGTTGATGCCGTCGTCACAGAGGGCCTCTCTCTTCTGACGTATCTAGGTTTGCGCCCTTCAGACACACATAAAGAAACTATGCTGGACCACCAGAATACTGACATTTCCACAAGTAGTGAACAACTAGTGCAAGGTACAGCATTTATATTACAAACAAAGCTAAACATAATGCAGGAAAATCAGAGGGACGTTCCATTTTAATTTAACAAATGGCCTTTGCATCATAATTATTGATGTTATTCAAATTTGCCGTGAATTATCTTGTGCACAGAAGATATTTATTGAGCACACTTCTGTGAAAAGTAAAATTCTACTTCAATCTTAGAATGTCTTACAAAGACATTGTTTTTGTGGATGTTTCAGAGAATTTCTTCTTTGTCATGCAACATGACATCCAGGTCAGATTCACAGGCCACATCACACCAGTTTATTGTCCACTGGAAAGTGAAGCGGAGAGTCAAACCCACAGTTTCGGTTTCATTACGGACTCTCTTGGCCACACCATCACGTTATATTCCTTTCAGCAAACCCTCACTGAGAAGATGAACTCAGATCATCCCAGCTTTACCAAAAGAGTTTATTTTTCGGATGTCTCAGCAGCACAAAGTAAAAACAGGAAAAACTCATGTCACCCTGATCAGGACTTTGGGATAAAAGCAGAGCAGTATTTTGTGTGACTTCCCATGGAAAGAGTCCCGTGTGATGGGACAGGGGTTCACTGAAAAGGGTCATCAGGTTGGCTAACTTGCCGTGACCTTTAAGTCAAGTCAAGGGGTAAGGAGCTGGCGCTGGCTACAGCACGTTGCTGCTTCCACCACACGGCAAACAACCTCAGGGATGAGAACCTGAGTGCAGGCATGGGGTGGGTGATACCTCAGCACCATACTAGTCCCAATGGAGCAGTGTGAGGTTTTTTCCGGAGGCTGGAGTGCCAATCCTGCCACCAACGCACAAGTTATTCCCTGTAAGATGGAGGACCTCCTTATAGAGCTGGATGTACATTACTGTCTGTGAGGGAGTGTCCTTTAATACATTGGGAACATCTACGCTATCCTTCACAACAGCAGAAACTGAGGTGTAAATGTATCTGGTTTTTTTCCCCTTGTTCTGCGGACTAAAAATCATTTTTTAAAATTTTTACCTCTGTAGCAGGATTGGGACTTATCATACATGCAGAACATATAATCTACAAGTATAGTGTGTTCACATATTCACCACCTACAGTAACCTGGAAAATTCTGACTTTCAATGAGGGTGTGTTGGAAAGTCTTCTCCATCTTCTTGATTTTCCAAAGAACCACACAAGAGAAATGTTATTCCATGTATGTGATTAGAGCAAAAAACTTTTACATAGCAGTAGTAGTAAAGAACAGGTGTGATGTGGCCTGTGAACCTGGATGTGTAAGGAGTTACAAATTCTATAAGATGTCCCCCAAAACATTTACGCACTTTAGGTCACACTTCAGGCACCTTTTCGGATACTTTTATGAAAGAAATGGATTAAGAGAAAGATTAGAAGTGAAAAATATTTCACCCCAACACCCCCATGTCTTTTTTTGACTTGTACACTTTCGGGGTGCTTATGTCATGATGGGGACCAAGGATAGGCAGCCAGCAATGTTTTATATAAAGTAGTACACGTGTGTATGTATGTATGTGTGTGTGTGCGTGTTTATAAAAAATCTATATTTTATAAAATAAAAAAAAAACTACTTGCAATTTTAAGCACTTCACTGTTTTTTAATAACCAAATGTAGTAAAAAAAAAAAAAAAAAAAAGAACTGCCTTTGAAAAGAGAGAAATTTATCGAATAGTTGAATTGTAGCTGTAATAGTGAAAAAATAAAAGTTACAGCTCATAAGAAAACTGAATTGTCATTATCTTGCTACCCACATGGTAAAAAAAATAAACTTGCTATATCACAAAGGGAATTTAAAAAAAAACCATTACTGAACTCTGGAAGGTGTGTAATTCACATGTCAAATTTCAAAATCAAAAAATATGAGGCAAAAACTTTTTTGAAAATGTGTTGAATGAAAATGGAATGACCCCACAGACATTGAAAGACTTGTGTCTCCCTGTGTTTCTTAATCATTACTTCAGTAAGTGGAAGCACACAGATCAGCAGAAAAAAATGACAGTTAGCTGATATACTAGTCAAGCAAGTTGGACGGGGCATGAGATTGGAAAACAGATAGTAAATGCAATGAATACCTAACGTCTAAGGACATACTATGTATGTCAGCTTCCTCTGGCAAATAACCATACATGAACACCCTATTAATATTTCATGAAAAAAGTATCATTTACATTTATCTACACTATTTATGTAATTATCATGGCACTTAGTGTATGTAAAAAAAACTGGTGTTCTTGTGCATGACTCTCCAAGCACAGCTGACCTGGGTAGTGATACTGATTGTCATCTCCTACAACGGCCGCTGGTCAGCTGTCAGGCTCACAGATCATTTCAATATAAATTGCAGCCAGCATTCTTTAACTAACCCATCACGGATTTAACAGAAAATAAGACGACATCACTGATGGGGAACCGGTGATGCCTTGCTCACTGAAATCCGAGCAAAATACTCTCCCCGAAAAAAAAACAAATTAAGGAAAATTATATAGTACAATGCAAGTGGCAAACATGGAATCAAGCACATTTTAATTATTAAAGGCTAAGCAAAAGCCACTCCGTCACTCGTCAGATTAACCAAGCTGTATGGAGCAGCCTGATAATATACCCTGTTCCCTTGTGTCTGTCTCTCTCTCATAAGAAAGAAAAGACACAACACATACATTTCAAGGTCCTGTTCAAAATCATTAAATGACAACTTGAGTCAAGAAATTGTGCTATTCAGAACAATTTCTATTGCAGAGAGACACCTTGCATATTAGATAGCAACATTTATTCAGCAGAACACAAAGAACCAAAAGCAATATTTATCCTTACCAGATGATGCAGGGCTAGGTATCATGACAGCCTGAGGAAAAAAAAGGATTTTTTTCTATAATACACAGTGTACTAAAGGTAATTCCTATTACCTGGTCATTAAATGTAGCTCTGACATAATAAATTGCAAAGTTTAAAATACACAATTTGAAAGAACTTACTGTCTCACTTGGTTGGAATATAAAAGCTGGAAAAAAATAAATATTTCATCTTTATAAACAATAATAAAACCGTAAGCACAGTTATTTACCTTATTGCAAAAAAAAAATCTGCATTTTCCTCTATCCTAAAATATATATATTTTTTAAATCCAGGAATCCATTCATTCTTTCTGCTAACAATATCTCATTCTGTAACTAAACCACAGCAGTCTGGATTTAATAATATAAAGTAATATGAACAGAACTGAACAAACAATACAGCTGATCAAAAACATACAAAACGTGAGCGCATGAATTCTAGTACCTTTATTGCGTCTATAGAAAAGGCCAGGGAGTCGGTTGGAGCGTTTGAGGTAGAAGAAGGAGGCAACAGACAGGATGAGGAGCAAACTGAGCAGCAGGGTTCCCAAGAGGAGGGAGGCCGCAACCCCAGGGCCACCTGTTCACACAGAACCACCACAAGTTCCACCTTCTGTTATCGCCAAACGGCAAAAACGAACAGGGGGGCTCACGCTAAGCAGCATCAAATCAAATACATACTAAAACAAATGAATGAAAAGTGTGTAGCACAATGCAAGGGCAACTTAAAAAAAATAAGTGCACATGCAACATATTAACTTTGTCAATTGACTGATTGTATTTACCGATTTTGGGCCCAACGGTCGCTAACATGGTTAGGTTGACTTCTGGCAGAATGTGTGCTGCAAGGGACAAACAAGGAACAGCAGCAGCATGCGTTACTTGGAGGTCAACTGGAATTTTGAATAGATTTGTGCACACGATGTCATATTATCCAGCTTCAAAATGACAAAGACAATAGGTGATCTCATCAACATCTCATACAATTAAAAAAAACAAAGCATTAAGATGATAAAAAAGACAATCAGTACAGCAGTTAAAAAAACAAAGCAGTGCATATTAGTGTCAACCAACAAACTCACAGTAGTTGCAGGTGGTTAAGTTTTCATGTCTGAAGGCCACAGAGTCACACTGCACACACAAAGCTGAGCCATTCTCCAAAATTTGCAGATAGCACCCTGAGAAAAGCATATTTACTCATTTAAAACTTTAGCTTCTATGGAAATAAATGCTTTTGAATGTTGGATTATGTAACTGTAAATTCTACTTTTTATAAGAATATACAAGGACCGGAAACTAGTTTAAATGCACTCTCCCCAAGTTATGTAATGCTTTATGATCAAATCAGGACTATTGTTCAGGTGGCGCACCCACAGAATAAATGATTTTTTTCCGATGCAGGAGTTAAGGATAATTGGCTGAGGGCTGCCTGAGCTACCAGCACACAGCTCCAAATTCTACAGAAGCTGACCAGACACTGAACGCTGCGCTACAACACAAGGTGAGTATCACTGTGTCTACCTCCTGGTGGAATGTGGCAAGATCTCTCACTACCTGGGGGACACCAAGTGCTGTTGAAACAGGTTCCATTTCTTGGCAGGGCCTCTCCACCATTATCATTGGAAACCAGCAGAAGAGTCTGAAATAATATGGCAGAACTTCAAACACTGCAGTACTCAGAGTGGTCATACAGCAGTTATAAAAATATACAGAGATAAAATACAGGAAGACTTTATTAATTGAAGCTATATTAAGGAATAAGTATCTTAAATACATCTACTTAAAATAAGAAATGTCCAATTTGATTTGGAATACAAAAATAAAAATCCAGACACTATTCTAGGTATTTTGTAGAACGTGAACATCAAGTTTCCCAAGGTGTCATTACAGCACCAACGGCATTTTGAAACAAGTTAAACACGGATACACACTGTTTACCTTGGCTATTATATGATGTTTAACTAATGGAGAAGAAAAAAAGTTACCCTTGAATAATAAAAGATATCTGATATGTTCCCATAGATGAAGACTTCAGCATCAGATAGGATGCATTAAACAGACTAGTGACTTTCTGTGATCACTACCATTGTAAGACAAAACTAACCTGAAACCCAGTAAGAAAAAAATCTATTCTGATACCACAATACTTAGCTATCTTTGAATTAATTAAATACTGAAAAAAGTGCCAAACATATACTGTACAGTATCTAGCTACCTTTCACATAGGGGAAAGTTTAGATCCAAATGATTACTGTTGACTGCCATAACCTTAACATTAAACAGAAAAAGAATGAAACCGAAAGCCCTTTTCCACTTAAAATATCTGCTTTTGTAAATTATGATTTTAGATTCGGAAAATGGGAAAAGCAGCCATGTTAATAACTATGCATGTGATGGTAATATCGTTACACCATGAACAACATACACTGGATTTGTTTTAAACAGCTAGTACTTGTTGAATATCTATTAACAACAATGTAAAGCACATAAAATATGAGTCAAGAATATTACATAAAATATACATTTTAAAATGTAATACAGATGGAGCCATAGCAACAAAGTCTGAATTCCAAGTGGGTAGCCACATTATTTGAGGAAGTGCGCCCTCTCTTGGTGTACAATGGCCAGAACAAAGCATTTTTATTTCACTTTTCGAATAATCCATGTTAATACATACAGAACATAAAGTACCAGAACGTGAAATAACGTGAAATATCCAGCTCGTCAAACTATACCTTGTTTACTGGAGTTTCACAGACAACTTGAAGCAAGGCTCCTGTGAAGACCAAGCATGGCAAAGCCATAACAAGCCACAGCTCCCCTACGAATAATAAACAGTGCAGTAACATCATTAGTTTTTCAAGGGAACAGATGGAAATGCTTTTCAGAAATGTTGGGAAAGTATATATTTTTTAGAAATAACTCTAGTGGATTAAAACGTGCATCTAGAATGTTAAAACTACACTGCTTTTCACATCAATTTATATATCTCGTCGTAGTACAATACGCCAAAAAAATAATCACTTGGCCGATTTATTCCTTTCCGTTATTTCACTGGTGTGTCCAATAAGAACTTTAAATGTATTTTATTTTACTGTCAACAATATTTACGAACGCAAAGGTACAATTGTTTCAAAGACTTCAGAAGACCTACCCGACTAGCCAGGATTTTAATTGGGTTAGTGAAAAGTAGTTGTTATATAATAAGTAATTAAGATTTGTGTTAAGATTTTCAACATTTATATCACGGACGAAATTTTGTTCAGTTTTGAAGCTTTTAGTTGCTATAGACTGGTTTCGCTTAAAACTGTACCATGAATATCCGGGTGCGTCACGCTTTATATATCATTACTGCTTGGACTTATAGTTATTTGCTAGATTTTTCCATACACGATTGCTTGCCACATATCATAAAAAAACTAGCTAAATATACGAAACGTGTTATTAAAAGAGCGCCAGCTATGTAACGTTAAGCATCACCGGTAGCTACAGTAGCTCTCCAGTTAGCTACAACAAGGCTAAAACAACAAAGTAAACGATCAAGCCTTACGTCGCAAATAAATTAAACACTTAAATAAAAACCGCTGTTACTATGTCTGATATGCCACAGTGGGTCGCGTTTTTGTTTGTTTTCTAAAAGCAGTTCGGTTCCATCAAAGGAAGCGTCTTACCTGACCATAAGGAAGCGATATTACGCCGCTAAGGCACTCGGCCGATGCAGTGCTACACTGTAGCGAAAGCAGTGCCGGGCCCAGTCGGTTGCGAGGCTGAGAGTAGCGTTCGGTGCAGGGAGAATCAACACTCTGTGCATGCGACAGACCCATACTGCGGGTTTGTCCTATCAACTTATACGTTACTTTTATTTATTTTATTATTATTGAAATAAACTGTGCAACGTTTATTATAAATTGAATATACAACAAAAACATTAAGAACGCTATCAAAAACCGATTTTTATTTACTATGTTATTGTCTATTCAAAATTTACTTGTCGCAACCCTGACCAAATTTGAAGGCGGATGGAACTAAAATACAGTACTGGCTGAACACTAACGACGCAACAAGAAAAATAGACATTAATGCAAAGCGTATTGGCGTAGGGCATTAAATTACTGAGCACTTGCAAAAAAAATATCTCATTTTGATTTCTAATTAAATAGCTAATTTTGGATTAATTTACTTGACAGTGCATAACCTAAACCTTTACCTACTGACATTTGTACGAAAATATTTGTCACTGGGTAACTCCGTGACCTCAAGTGCTTGTGGGTTGTGGGTTTGATTCTTGCAGGCTGTGTTGGGTTTTATGAGGGGGCACCCTCTGATGGACTGGCATCTTGTCTGTTTTTCTTGGGATAGGTTCCAGGCTTTCTCTAACCCTGTATTACCATAAGTTCATCTGTCCGTTCATCCATCCATCCTCCAACAATTTATCCAGTGTAGGGGGCAAGAGAAACATCTGGGAGGGTGGAATCCCACTCACTGTAGGGCAAACACACAATAGGCCATATTGGGCAATTTGAGACAGCGTGCCCTTGGACTGTGGGAGGTTAGTGTTGGGGTATGTATTGCATAAGTGGTTATGGAAAACTGGCTGTGATGCAAGGCTGTGTGTATTGTTCACTGGGGTAAGGCACTGTGCCTATGTCTGGAAGATCATAGGTTTGAATTCTGTGGCTGGCAGTATAACCACATTACTACTGGGCACCTGAGCAAAGCCTTTAATCCCACCAAGGGGTGCTGGATACTGGCTGACTCTGCTCTCTGACCACAGGCGTCCATCACTTGTATACCAGTTTGGACATTAATAACTGCCAAATAAATAAATGGACGTGTACACATCTGCTGAGCCATTCTCACTGAACCATCAGATCAGGTTTTTAAAAAAAAAAAAACATTTAATCAGACCACTAGAGGGAGCCGGTATCATCTGTGCAGAAATCAACAGGTAAGGAAAAAATACACTATTTGAAATCTTCAGTTTTATAATCTGGCAAAAAAAATATAATGCAAAGAAAGTTTTTTGTTGTAGGGGAACATCATGTGCCAAGGTGCATTATGCTGTGGTTGGTTCAGATCCGTCAGGGAGGATGCAGTCTGGCCTGTTCTTGTTTTCTTGATACTGCGTGTCCCAACAGGGCTGAGCAGAGTCTCCCCGCAGTCAGACCAGGGGCCTCTGTGATGCAGCGTTTCCTGGTTTCATTCATTCCCAGCAGATTGGGGCTCCGTGTGCTGAGGTCTCATGGGACTGTTGTGCTGACCCTGTGTTCATCATCAAGTGTCATCATTTTCAGTTATGTATAAATATACGTTTCTACCAGAATCATAATTAGCTGAACTCAGTCCTTCGCCAAACACCTAATTCACTATTTTCCTTCCTGGTATGATTGACTGTCATAAATTCCAATTTAGTTTTGATCCCTGTTTCAAAAAGTAATTAGCAAAATAATAATTAATTATTACATAACTGTTACATAAATTAATATAAAATACTGTTAAATATTCAAACAATCTTACATAATCTCATAATTTAAGTGATTATTGGAAGTACATAACTATAAAACATAAAAGCAGTACCAAGACTTCACACAAATGACGTAACATTCTCATTCTGACCACAGTGGTCTACAGTGGGAGGGCCAAAGCATGGGTCCAATCCCCGAGTCTCTGCCTGGATCTCCACCTCTGAGAGAGGGCCAAAGCATGGGTCCAATCCCCGAGTCTCTGCCTGGATTTCCACCTCTTGCCAATCCCCAA